ATACTTCTAATTGTTTATATAAAACACCTAATTTGAAACCAGCTAATTACGATTAGTTGAAAAATCTAATTCATTTTTTTCTGTGTAAAATGGCAACCATTAAATAGGAACATGAAAAAAAAATAAAGCATAATAAGTGTATTTTTAAAGCATTATACTGTTTCATAATGTTCACCAACAAATAAAATTTAAATTAAGATATTTAGTAAGCATTTCAATAAAAGTATTTATCAAAAAAATTCTTAAACTACTTAAACAAATTATTAAGTTTCCTGTGAAATATTTTCAAGGACCCGTTCCTGACGAAACAAAACATAATTCTCTATTTACATTGAAACACCAACATTAATACTCTAAATTTCATTTAATTCTAAATTAGTAGATATTTTAACAGAATTCTTCATTAAAAAATAATTTTCATATTTCCGGTTAAAAAAATTCTAAATTATTATTTAGATGTCCTTGTTATGCCTTAAGGAATTTTTTGTAGGCAAAAATTGTATAACTAATAAATTGGCAATTAAGTAATTACAGGTATTGTAAAAAAAGTCATATATTTTTCATAATCAGTAATAAATTTTTTTTTGCGGTTCGATTTTGAAGTTTTTGTATATTTTAGTCGTACTTGATTTGTTGCCGTTATCAATTTTTGTCAAAAGTCGATTAGGCAAAATATAACAGTTTATTAGAGCATAACATACCAAAAAGAAATTTATACTCTAATAAACTCTTTTATTTTTTTTCGGGCTACGACAGTTCGCTGAGTTATTTATTTTACGATTTGCAGTTCTTCAATTAACCAGCAAGATTATACTATTTCAAGCATTTATGTATATTATTTTCTTTAATAACTATCATCCATCGATTACAGTTCATCTCTTATACAATAAATAATTTTTAAAAATTTTTTCAACAACTTGTTATTACTAAGTTGCCAGACTCTAGTATTTTCACACTCAGCAATATAATAATATGAATATATATGTATGAATGTATATATGCTAATGATGCTATTCCAACATTACATTTTAGATGTTTTAATATTGTTATACATTGCCTGTTATATTTATTAAATACCCATAAAAAATAGAATACTTGTATATAATTAATAATTTTATGGAAAAATTTAATTTCATTTTAGACAAAAAAAAACCAAACAAAACATTCTTTAGGGTATAGGTACTAAAAACACCTGTATTAGATGATTTTTAATAAGAAGTGTAAAATTACAAATATTGCATAATTCAAGTGAAAATGGAAAAAAAATTATATTAGTCTAGGGATTAATAAACTTATTAAGTATTTTTTAAAACTTTTATTCAACTTTGTACAAAATTTCGGGAAGATTCCAAGAAATATCTAAGAGCAAAAGTAGAAAGAGGGAAAAAATTATACATTTTTAAATTAATTTAAAATAAAGTTGGGTCAATGGTTTTTAAAGTAGCACTTTTCTCTACAACAAGTGAAAATATGACGTCCTATTTTTAAAACAAAACATTGTCTATTACTTTCACTCATATACCAAATTAAAATTATAAGAGTAAACATCGGCTTTCTGCATTTACAAAAATTTGGAAAAGCTTCAAGTTTCGGATACACAAAGTGTCGAAAATTCAAATTTTACGAGTTTTGTGGGGTAATAACTTGAGAGGGATGAAGATAGAAAAAAAGAAAAATTTGCAAAATTTTAAAACTGTTTCCAGCAACATAAATTCATCTATATTCTAAAAAATCCATTCATCTATAAAATTTCAGCTTTCTGTTTTACAAGGTGGGGACAACTTTTATAAACGCATTCACGCACAAACGGATGGACAGAGTAAAACTAATAACTTTTTTTCAAAATTTTTTTTGGAAATGTACTAAAAAGTACAATTTGATTTTTTATTTGAGTTTAAAGAAAACTTTTAATTTCATATTAAAAGAAATTTTTATTAACTTTAATGACTCTTTTAAAACTTTTTTCTAAAATTGTAGTCAAATTAAAGTTTTGTTTTCATCATATTATTTATCGTAATTGACTAGGTTACGATTACTTCAAATTTAAGGTATAATGTTATAAATGTGTAAATCATGGAATAATATAGGCAGCAAATAAATAATAATTTGGCATTAAGAAATTTGAACAAAAACGTGGGGTTCCCTGCAAATTTTTCGTTATAGAAATTTATAAAATCGTCATTATTATGAATATAAAACTGAAAATAAATATATTCAATAGTTTTTAACAGAAACTCAACCATATTTCGACTGCAATATAAATGCTAGAACCAAGAAAAAGGCAATATAGCCTGTTGTAAATTTTTCTAAAATTCTACTAGTCTTATAAAATTTTTATTTATTTATCAAATCTCTATATAGTTTCAGCTGTTCTCTCTCCATACCATAAGCTATTAATAATTCTAGCATTAAATTTCAAATATATTTTGAATTAGATCTTTAAAAACTTAATCATCTCAATTATTTTTTTCATTGATACCCGCCAAATTCTTATTTTAATTATTAAATGATTTTAAACAGTTTTCCCCTATTTAAAATTTATTAAAAAAAATCTATTAATCTATTAATAAAATCCTATCCAAATATTAGTAAAATTATTTTTAAATAAATGAAAAGAATACAAAAAACAAATCAAAATTTCTTCTACCAAACCAATTAAAATGGCCGGCAATCAATAGACATTTAAATGTCATTTAATTCGACTGATTTTAATCAAATTCCAACATAGTTATAAAGATTTATCAGCTTTTCATTATTTTCATTTTATTTTTCGCATGGGCTCTAAGCATATTTCCAATAAAATTTTATATTCTGCCTGTCCGTTTGTTCCTATATTTGCTTTTACAATTTTTGCACTAAAGAAAATTTATGAAGAAAATTTTTATCTCATTTCAATCTAAATTCTAAAATTGTTATTTCTAAAAAAATAAATATGCGTAATGGCAACTCAAACAATTTTTAAATTTTATAAACGTCAAAGGAAGTATGACTTACTTCTCTTCACCAAAACAACATACTTATAGTAACCTCAAGTTTTTTTAGAGCATTTTTTATTTTCAAGTTCTTATAAAGTCATTTTTACATACTATATAGACAGAAAATTATAGAAATTTGAAAGTTTAGAAGTATATGCTAACAAAAATAAATAGGTAATTTCCTTTGAACAAAATTTATTTGTACCTCCTTGAACCAAAATCGGCAAAATTTCAGTTTTCAGTATCTTATTTCGTCGAAATTCTAAGCTTTTTCAAATTTCTATAGAAGAACAGTGTTACTCTAATTTTAAATTTTTTTTGTTTTAAAAAATAAATTTATTCTTAGATAGTTAAATAGCGATCTAGTTAGACCATTAAATGTTAATGCTCCTTTTACTTTATTTTCTCAGCCGGAAGTTATGCAATAGAAGATTATTCTAATAGTATGCAATATTATAAAATTGAAAGAATAGGGTAAATTAAACACAATTTTACAGGAAATGTGCTACTTCACAAACCGTTCATTTCAATCAAGTTTATTTTTTTCTACATATTTTTTATATTTACGATTTCTATTTTTTACTTTACCATTTCGGCGGATGTTATAAGTTTTATAAAAATAAAAAGAGAAATAGGCGATTGAAATCATTTCAGTTTTTCATGTATAGAAAAAAAAAAAAGATTGCGTGATGGAAAATTTTTTTCTTCAATTCTTTAAATTTGTGTTTTTTATTGCGTCCATTATTTTCATGATATGCGTTTGCCTCCTGCTCCCCCTAATTCATATTTTATTTTAGTAATTGTTTCGTGATTGTTTCATTCTATAAAAGTGGCAAGTATATGGTATTTTATAGTGTTAATTACAGTTCTTGTAGTAAAAATTTTTTATTTAATTTTTTTTTTCATTTATACAGACTTATAAATGTTATACATATATGTAGGCATTTATATACAGATACATATTATGAGAATAATAATAATAAAAAAAATGAATCAGTAATTAAGGCAATAATAAACAATGCATAAAATAAACTATGAAAAAACAAAAATGAATTGAACGCGAGGAAGTGAAGAAAATTCGCGAAATAAAAATAATAGTTATCATTAAAATGCAAAAATGTTACATAGTTCGTTAAGGTTAAATGAATTCCAGAAAAAGAAGATGTGATTAAAATTTTTTATATATATATTTTTTTGAAATTAAACAATAAAAATTTATGTTATTAAATACTTTTTAATATTTTCAAAAAAATACAGTAGATTTTATTCAAAAAGAAGATTAAATTTGAATTCTTCTTTAAATAGAATTCTCATTGCTCTTAATAAATAAAATTTTAAAAGGGATAATTATTGTTACATTTTTTTATATGTATATTTTTATATGTACGGAATAATTACGGAAAATGATGGAATTTGAGTTTTAATTATGCAGATATTTTATTTTATTTTTAAATATTTCTTGTTTAATAATTAAGAATTAATTATTGTAAAAAAAAAATTTCGCTAATATAAATAAAAATTGAACTGTTTTGAGATTGCATTAAAATACAATGTTCTACAAAATTTTTGCAAAACAATATTTGAAATAAGTAAAACTGAGTTATTATGAAAGTTCATAAACAATAATCATAGCAATGTTACAACAAAAAACAAGTGATATTGTCACATTGTCTAACGCAGTTACATTATCTGTATCTCTGAAAATCTCTTAATTATTATAAAACGAATGAACCTTAATCAAACTAAAAATATAATTGTGAAACCAATTTTAAACAATTTTATTTAAATAACATTTCCTTTAAAAATAAAATATAGTTACTCGGAACTTTAGTAAAAGCCAGTCATTTTCTTCCTAATTTGAAAATTCAACAATTGATTGCTGTTCCGTAATATTAAGGCGTAGAATTCAATTGGAGAGGCTGCAACTTTAAAATTTATCAAGTGTTATAAATATTGTTCCAAATATAAAAATTTCCCTCTGATTAAATAGCAACATTTTTATAAGAAATATTTTGAACGAATATAATGCGTATTTGGGGAGTTTATATACGAAAGTTGTTTTTATTCTGTAATAATAGAGAAATACAGCTAGAAATAATTAATCATAAATGCACTGCAAATTATAAATATACATTCACTTTCCTACATAAATATATCAAGGGAATAGTTGAAAATGTTACAAAAAAAAAATTGTTATGTACCTGTATTACAATCAAAAATCTTTGTTAGTCATATTCATAACACTCACAACAAAAAAAAAAGCAAATTATTTGCACGCATTCCCTTCATCACAATAAGTTTAAATATGCGTACAGTAAAAATGTTTATCATATCGTAAATTAATAAAAAAAAAATCCCTACATGCGTATTTGCTTGAAAACACACAAATATTTATAAGGATATGCGAAATGCTCGCAATACAATTTTTAATATTGTGTACTTAAGGATGTACGTCATTTTACCGCTGTTTATTCTAGAATATATTAAAATTACTTTGCAAAAAAAAAAAAAACGAGAACTTATTTTATAATGTTCATTCCAAAATAAAGTTAATAATTATTAAATTGTGGTAAAAACAAGAAAAGATAAAAAACCACTTGGGTAATTATTTCAATGGTAGGTTAAAGAAGGTTAAAATAATTCAAATACTTCTACTTAAAAATAAATGCCATTATCTCGGTATGTAAAACACACAAAAAAAAATAAAATAATTCACTTAGATTATATTAAGAATAACGCATATATAAAATCATAATATTTTTATTATATACTGAAATAAAATCTACATAAAAATAATATAGAAGGACTATAAAATAATTTTGAATTTTATTATTTAAAATGATTTAGGCAAATTTTCAAAAAGTTATTTTAGATTTTATTAAAGAATTTTTTTAACATTTACTTTCGTATATGCAAAATTCTGTTATGTTAAACACACTGTAGTTTTCATGTAGTGTTATATAACAAAAATAAGAAGTGAGAATATTACGATACTAAACATGAAGCAAACTACAAAACTGAAATTTGAATATTGGCTTATTCAAATTTTTCTTGAACAAACCCACCATTTCAATTCAATGAACTTTTGAATAAAAAAACTACAATATTTAGCGAATATTTTTCTACCAAACGATTATTTATTAAATGAATCTTATATTTCCATTTCGAAATCATCTAATTTAATTTATGTATATATTGTTTTTTAATATATATCCCAGAGTTGACTGGATTTATCCACCTTCATGGCCTTTAATTTTATATTTTCTTATGATTCATTCTTTATTTTTTATCATTATACATTATTACCTTATCTTACAAAAATAAAAATTCATGTACTCGTATATATATATGCAATATATTATATATATATATATATTATACCTACACTCCATTTATTTTTAAAATATAATTATTATCCTCGAAATTTAACTGTATATATGTATATGTAAAATTCTAAACACATAGAAAAAAGAAATAATAATGGAAAATTTTCTAAATTATATATATACAAAATAAATCTGCATAAATATCATGTACAAGTTAACAATAATAATAAAATGATAATAAAAACTCTAATAATATTTTATTTTATTCATTTTTAATGGTTTCCTTTTGTTATTTTTTTTTTCAGGTGGTTCTGATAGTAATAAAGGTAAAAGCAAAAAATGGCGCAAAATTTTACAATTTCCGCACATATCGCAATGTATACACCTCAAAGACAAAATAGGTAAGAGAAAAAGAAATCATCTTACATACTATATATATATATATATACATATATGATTAATAATAATGAAATTAAAACGAATAATTAACATTACTTATATAATATTTTAATTACCATCTATTCCTATACATAAAATAGAATTAATTGCATACAATACTTATATAAATTAAAATTTAATATTGGTTCGATATCACTAATTACTTTACTACATATAGCAAATGATTAAGGGTGTGTTAGCCACATCATATAATGGGCATCACATAAATCTGTCTCTTACAAATTTATTTCGGCTACACGTTTCCTTCACATACATATAGAATGTACCAATTTTTTTTTTAATTTTAATCACCTTAAATGGCATTATAGATTCAAAGCTCATGCCAGCAATTATTTAACGTTCTAAAAATGTTATAAAATTAAAAACCAAAAAGCAAGGTGCACATTCGTACAAAAAAGTCAAAAAATCTCTATTTCACTCAAGCACAATGAATAAATCTTTTACATTCGCATAAATTAAAGTAGTGTAAAATAATTAAATTCAATCATTTTAAAAATATTAAAACTTTAATTTTTTGATTCTCTTCAGATTCTTAATTGAAATTAACAAGATAAATTAACTAAATTTGAACCTCTCAAATTATTTGAAACCACAAACATATCAAATATAGCTTAGTTAAAACGCTTTACCTCGAGCTTGGTGAACAATAGTTGCCACTTATATAAAATAAAAAACAACGTAATCTGTCTGACCTAATAATTTATTTTTTTTTTTAATTATTATTTTTTAATTGTTTCTATCAATCATTAAAAAACTTCCTTTTCACAATAAATTTCAAATAATAATTTCAACAAAGCTAAAAAAAAATTCATTCAAAATTTATTATTTTTAATCTTTGTTTACATTTCCCAGTTACATTCCCATTAACGTGCTATACATACATTTATACAAACAATATAAATCCACATTATTATTATTATATATAAAATGTACATGGAAATATTAATTTATTTGAAATACAGGGATGTTTGGGGATATTATCAAAATGTTTATGAGCATAGTAATACTAAACTTAATCGAATTGAAGTGAGACAACTATTCTAATCGCATATCGCATTACATATATTAATTATATATTGGTCACATCACTATGTGCTTTCCATTTTTCAACGTCTTGCATACACAAGCTTAAATTTTCGAAAAATTATTTCCAATTTAATTTGAATAAATTTGGAATATCAAATTTTCAGTACAAATAATCACTCGATAAGTCTTATTAAATAAAATCTGAATTTAGTTTTAAATATTGAAGAATTGAATTAATAATTGAATTAGTTTGAAATATTGTAATGAACAAGTTGATTTGCGACTTAATTCAAAATCGGAATAAAGATTCGCATAAATATTTTATTAAATCCTATTTGGAAATATCAAATATTTCTATAAAATTTTAATATAGCCCTGATACACTTTTTATTTTTAAATGAAAATTTAAAAAAAAAAAAATTATATATATATATATGTATAATTAACAACAAAATGAAATGCTATTTAATTGAAAGAAAAAATCCTATTTAAAAATTGACTCCTGCTGTTCTAAAATAAAAATGCTCCAATTTTTGTAAATACAAGCAATAAAAAATATTATAGTGTATAACATTTAATACCAAACCAATATCTAAAATGTAAAATAAAATAAACAAATGAAAAACTCAAATGATGTCAAAGAGGAAAAAATAAACAATTAAAATCGATAATATACGGAATTTTTTTTTATTGAAAAAAAAACCGAAAAAAAAACAAAAAAAAATAAAAGCAATCCATATAGAGTTGATTTGGTGAACATTTATAGCCACATACATACATACATACAAATTTATATAGAAAATAATTTTAATTAAAAAGTCTAAAGCCCCAACAGTAAAATTCTAATAAAAGTCGTCAACATATCAATTTGAATTGGCAACTTTAAGATACTCTTAACATTAATTTTTCAATTTAATGCAATAAACAACTTTTTTTTTTTTAAAACTATTTTAATTTTAATTTCAATTTTAAAAAATATACGAAAATTGAATTATAATTCGTTTGGATTCTAAACAATTTGAAACATTGTGAGAAATTTTAGGAAATTCTAGAAGTTTGATTGATTATATCATCGGCCCATTATGATCAAAAGTAAACAACAAAGTTCCAAAACAATTCGTTACACAAAATCCACGACATACAGAATAAAAAATAATATTATAATTCCAAATTGTGTTTTCTATAGGTTTAAACTATTCCGTGTCATATTTTGTTAGTAAATCGAAAAATAATTTTGTAATACATGAATCGTTGCACCGTTTATCATTAACGTACTGCTTATTGTCTTCCATTATTTTAAATTTACACTCGCATTTTTGAAATAGCAATGTTTTCTAACAAATTGAGCATTTTAACACTTTATGATGAAAAACTGTTAATATTTTATAGAAATTAAATTAAAAATAAAATTGCATACTTTAGGGAGATTGTTTTTTTTTTTAAACTTTTAATAATTGAGTTTTTCCTTTTATAAACTTATTTTTTGTTTCAATTCGTCTAATACAAAACCGAGAGATTTAAAAAAAAAAATTTTGTAAATTATTTCAGAATAAATGTAAAAATTTAGTTTGGGGCTTAAATTTATATCTTAATAATTTTGAAAAAATTTATAGTTTAATGAACTATAAAACGGTGCAACGATTCTTGTATTACAAAATTATTTTTCGGTTTACTAACAAAATATGACACGGAATAGTTTAAACCTATAGAAAACACAATTTAACATTATGAAAAATCATAATATTTTACAATTTTTTTATTTTAATTTCAGATGTAAGTTACGATTATGTGATAGATCAGCAGCCAATTGGTCGAATACTTTTTCGTCAATTTTGCGAAAACAAACGGCCAATATACTATCGTTATATAGCGTTCCTAGATCAAGTTCAAAGGTAAAAAATTTTCTTTTAAACAATCAAATTTTAATTTATTAAAATAAAAACGATTGAAAAAAAATAAAAAATTTAAACGATATTTTACTCTTAATTAAATGTTTTAACTTCCTTCCATTCTCTCTCTCTCTCTCTCCTCCTGTATTCTTATAATCTTTATGTTACTTTTATTTTTTCCGAGCTTTTATTTATTCACCTGCCAATTCTTTAATATGTTATCATCAATGTTTCATTAATTACATAAAAAAATATATATATTATGTAAATATATAATGAATATTTTTTTATATAGATACGAAGTCGAATACGATGAAAATCGTATTTCAATAGCTAAGGAAATAGGTTTTCGATTTTTATCATTTGATGCATCCCCATCCTCTGATACAATAGCAACATCACCAATAGAAAATGGTGTTAATGAAACACAAACAACAAATACAGCAAATATTAACAGCGAACTGAATAATCATCATCATCAACAACAGAATCGAAAACAATTGGGTAATGATAGTAGACATCATAATGGCGACGATCGAGGTGAAAAAGATGATGGTGGTGGTGATAGTGGTGGTGGTGGTAATGATACTGGTGGCAATATTGATATAAATAAAAGTGGAAATTGTATCGATTCAAATCAAATTGATGATGAATATAATGAAAAAGAGAATATCAATAGTAAATCTAAGGATTTATTAATGCCAAATAATGATATTAAAACAAAATTGAAGAATTCCAATATGAATGTATTAGATGTTCTAAATGATGTTTTAATCAGTAAAGTTAGAGATAAAATTAAAAGTGAGTATTAAACTAATAATATAACAATTAATTAAACGATTTATATTGAAAGATATTCCATATGCGAATTGTTATATAAAATGAAAAATTACACAAGTGATTTATGCATAACAGAAAAACACAAACTGTTTTGAATGTTTTATTGGAAAACTTTCACAAAATACAAAAATAATTTTTTTTTACATTTCCTTGCGAAAAATAAAAATTATTTTATTAAATATTTTATCCAAACTTCTGCTTTGTAATTCAATGCAAACCTCATTCAAAATAAAATTCTATAGAACAAAAATAGTCGATAGCATTAAGTTTTTGAAGCGTTTTTAATTTACTTCCTTGTTTGTTAAATTTGATACCAAAATTTTTTGTCTTTAAGAGATAATTTTTGATTACCGTCTCCTAATCAATGACTATCTTCAAACCCAAATTGGTTTTTTCGAAATTTATACTTTATAATAATTGATTTTTATTTCTTTATTTGATTTAAGTTGAAATTGATTGGATTTCATTTTCTTTCCTATAGGTGGAAGTAAAGATTTATTTGAACCATGTGTGACTGCTGTGAAATCATTTTTGGCCGGGGAACCATTTCGTGAATTTGAAGAATCAATGTATTTTCATAGGTAAGTTAAATAATAATCTAAAAGTCATTATTCATACAAATTTCATAAATAACAAAAAACTTACATAAATATGGACTATAACATATATAGACAAATTGCAGGTGTAGGGAACTTTTAAGACAAAAGCCACAAAAAAAAAATTTGCAAAATATGAATTTAATTGAAAACAAGCTTATTTAAAAATACACACATACATAAAGTAAATATACTATTTAAATTACATATAAAGTATATTTTAAAAATTTTACCTTAAGAACTCTGTTTAACATTTATGTGATGAAAACGATATCCCATCTCTTCTGAAAACATAAAAATTTAATTGAAAACGTGTATATTACATAACAATCAATTTAAGAGATATGGGGCTTACAATTCACGTTTATCACAAATTTCTATTAAATTTCAATAATTGTTCTATTTTTCTATTTCTAAAATTTTTAATTCTGTATAAGTACATGTTATATTAAATTATTTTCATTTAACGTGAATGCTTAACATTATATTACTTCATTGTACTTATATTTTTAAACAATTGTACTTCACGTCCCATTTTGCAAAAATTATTACGAGTTACTTTGATTGCATCGAAAAATTAACTAAAAATTCTCATGAATCTAATTAACAAAACCATTAGTATTCTCTTACGAATAATATATGTAACACGTGTTAGTGTACAAATGTGAGGAATTTGAATATAATACATTATATTCAAATACATTAAATTTGGTGGGAGTGGAATGTAGCCGACAGGATGTGTTTTTTTCAATAATATTAAGAAATCTCTATTAATTTAATGAAAAGGGAATTACATTTCTAGGAAATTATAAATTTTAATTTATTTTTAAAAAAGGCTCATTTTCTGTAAAGATGTTTTCTTGTGCGATTTCCTCTCCTTAGTTAGTTTCATAAGAGGAGTACAATAGTAAGAGTACAAGAGTACAATAGTTGACAACTGATTGTCTGCTGAAACTTCTTTGAAAATCTAGGTGGGTCATCATATTATCATGGATATATATAATTTTTTTTTATTCCCACTTTGCTCCTGGGAGGAGCATATGACCGGTACGCGATATTGTAGATAACTATGAACACCAGTTTCTTACATCATTGAGTTTTACTAGGTAAGGGACGAGTCTACCGTAGTTTTATATTAAATATTTAAGTTTATTGATATTTACTATTTTATTTTGCTGGTATTTTTAATATTGGATATTATTGAAATATGGCAATTAGTTAATATGTAAAATATTTATAATGTAATTTGTATAAAGCTATATAATATTAAATAGAATTTTTATAGTGACCTGACTGGGCTTTGGACCCGAGATCCTTCTTTTAAAGGACTAGTACAATAACCACTGCACCATTGGTCAGATGGAAATATATAATTATTGATGTAAAATTACAAGAAAATGCAATAATTATTTAAAAAAAAAAAAACAAGTATAAAACGTACAGTCGGCTCGTAGTTAACGTTGAGTTACTTAGACTTGACATAGGCCAAAGTAAACTCAGATATAAATTTTCATTTAAAAGTTTTTAGTCGAAATCTCGATACACGAAACAGACTGATAGACTTACATCTCTCTCAAAATAGTCTATTTACGCATATTAAAATTCATTTCTGCCATAAACTCGACATGCGAAACTTTGTGTCATCACATAATATCCAGTTATAGTATGCAATGCGGTCTGTAGAACCTATACATATTCTCGCATTTATTTAAAGGTGAAGTATTAAACTCAGTTTATACAAGCACTTTATTGAACATCGTCCCTAATAGGTCAACATCTGCACTCTTTATGCTTTCTTTTTCCTTACAGCATTCATTTGATAGTTACAAATCATCGTTATACTCACTGTATATCCATATAAAAATTCAAGTATATATATATATATAAATATGTGGATATATTTAAATAAAATTTAACTGCAAAAATATTAACCATTAAGGAAATAATTATTGTTGAGCTCATGTACATAGATACAATTTATATACACATTCAAAATTTCCCAAACTTATAGTCCCAAATCTAATTAAGGTTCATTAAAATTCATAATATATGGGTAAAAAATACATTAATCTATACATATGTATATGTGATAATAATTTTTTTTTTAATTTGTAAATAATTTTGCCTTAAATCACATAATAAAAGGTACACTAATCTCATATAAATCATATTTAATTATAACCTTAAATGTGCCTTAAAATTTTTAATATAGTTTTAAATTTAATTTTTTTTTTTATATTTTGCACGTTGAAATAACAGGTTAAATATTTAAATTAATAATAATGGAAAAAGCTCAGCCCACACTTATAATAGATAAATAGATTTTAATACGAGTATACTATAATCATTGTTATAAAACTGAATAGATAATTATTTTAGATTAAAGAAATATGTAGTTCTAAGTTCAACATATTTAGTTTCCCTAAGTTCAACAAAAATTTTTCCCTTTGCAAAATTCAATTTTAAAAGTTAAAGCTATTTCACATTTTCGTTCAAAAAATTTTTGTTATATTACAATAGAGAATTTAGTTGTAACTCAAATTATTTTATTAAATTAATACTCGTATATCTGAAATCATGTTAAAATATTGTTTATATGAAAATTCCGATAAACTTCAGGATAATAATGGGAACACCGAAATATATGCAATTTTTTGTTTATTTATTTTGTTCTTTTTTGTAATTACAAAAAATAAATAAATTGCGATCAAAGCAAGGGTTTGTAAAGTACCACTTTTCCCTTGAAAAACGGAAAACATTTTCATCAAAAAAGAATCTACTAGGAATTTATATCACTTTCATTCAAAATATTGCATACATTTAGAATGAGAAAGAATCAAAATTTAAAGAATAATAATGACATGGCATTTACTGTTAACTTTTTGTTTTACTAGAAATTTGAAAAATCCTGCAGTTTCAGAAATATAAGAAACCGAAAACTGAAATCTAGACCAGAAAAAGGCAAAATTAGACTATTGCGAAATATTTTCGCTAAACTAAGCCATTATGATCATCAGATCAGATTTTTTTGTAATTCAATTCACTACTGTCTCATAAATTTCATGTTAACCAAATAAATTCGTTTATAATTTTTTTAATTTTCATTGAACCATCCTTTATAGTTTTTAAATTTCTATAATTTTATATATAAGATCATTAGAGTATCATAATGAATATAATAAATAATAATATTGTCATGATGTCTTTTTATAATAAATTCATTAACAATATTTACAAGGACAAGGACAATTATCATGACACCAAATATGTACAAAAATATAAAAATAGAAAATAATTTGAACAAAAATTTTATTTATCAAATATGTCTTCTCATTCATCTTCAATTTAATATATTTTATAGGCATAATATAGATGATTTATGCATAATTTTCCTAACAATAGGTTATCAATAAATCCTTTTTTATGATAACAAAAGCCTTATGTTTTCTAATACAAAAGATTAAATTTATTTCTTAAATTATTTATTAATAATATTATCTGTGTTGAGGAATTATGGTTATTCTTATTTGTATAATATCTATGGGCAAATAATAATACCAAAAATAAATTTTTCAGAGAATTGGTTTTCATATTTAATTATAGAATTTTATGAAATTGTGACTTAAATAAAACTGAGAATTTATAAATAATATTCATTGTTCTTTAAAAATACATAAAATTAGAATTAAATTAAAAAAATTCTTTTGTAAAACAAAAAAAAAACAGAAATGCATAAGATTTATTTTATTCTTATGCAATTTTATGTTTATATATGTTTGTTGGTTTTTTATTTATTAAAGTCGGTCCAACAGGTAATATTCAATGAATTGACGCATAAATAAAATATTGTAAATCTTTGTATTTTAAAAATCATAATCTGAATTCTGTTTACTTACAAATTTTATTTGGTATTTTAAGACTTTCCGTCCTAAATAATCGAATCTCAAATTTAACTATTATACAAATTCATTCTGATTTAATGAAGTTTCCAGTTTTAATCCAGTTTTAATGAATTCACTAAAAAGTTGAGCGTATCTCAAAGAATTATCCTTCAGACCATAATATAGAAGCAGTTTCAATGCTATATTTATTCGATTCTATAATATAAACTTTCTTTCCTACTCTATCGTACATTAAAGGTTATATGACATCAAAATTAATTTTCTCCACTAAATTGCATTATAAGAATGATTTAATAATGCAACTTGTTAATTTAAAAAAATTTTAACATGAATTACAGCTTATCAAAATTTCTTTAATTTTCTTTTTCTAATGATGTATAATTCGTTCAAATTTATGAACGCCTTCATAAGCTTTACCAATAAAAAGGGAAAAAAACATATTCTATCTACATATCCTTTTGAGAAAAATTATTTTGTCCAAATTAATAGGAGCATAAGCAATGAAATGTTTGCTTCATATTTCGTAAATATATAAACAATTATTAATATATACATGCATGTATGTGTACAATATAATATATGTACCATTAATATTGAATAATGAATTCCGAAGTGTTCTTTTTTTCTTTTAAGAACAAATGAATAATCTCACGAAAAATACAAAAATTTTTACATGTTGTTTAGGCATTTTATGAAAAATTTCTGAAAAACTCATTTTAAATTGTATTATTATTAAAACAAAAAATTCTAAATACATACATATGTACATGTAGATCATTGCAAAATAGAAAAAATACCCTTAGAGCATTTACATATATACATAAGTATATAGAGACTTTTGTTTCTATAAAAAAAAAATTTCCTTCATCTTGAAAACACTCTTACATATTAAACATTTTTTTTTTACTTATTTTTATTTGGCTACTAAATTCATTGTTTTTTTTTTCATGCTTTCTCATTTTAGATATTTACAATGGAAATGGCTTGAGGCACAACCAATTACATATAAAACATTTCGCATGTATCGTGTCCTTGGAAAAGGTGGATTTGGTGAAGTTTGTGCATGTCAGGTATATGCAATGTTATAATAATCTTATATTATTAGAAATTTGGGTAATTTCTTAAGAATTTTACGGCTTACCTATAAAACCGACAATATCAGTCGACTAAACATAAAATTGCAATATTACGATGATTAAATTCTTTATAATTACATATATATGTACATATGTATGTAAAAATAAAAAAAAAACTGATTTATGAAGCGAAGCATTCATATTTATTATAATTCGAAAAAGTCGCTAGAACAAATAAAGTTATGAAAACTGCCATCAAAATATTTGATCAAACATTTTTTGGGAAAAGCATGCTATTTCTGGGACAATAAAGTTTGATCAAAAAAACAAATGTTGAGACCAGCTGATTTAACAAAATTTCCAAACTTAACATTAAAAAATAATTAATCAAATATATTGAATTAATTTGTAAAAGCTCGAAATAAGCTACTGTCTTTCAAACATTTTCATATGAATGTAGGCTGTAATCCTTTTAATAATTAATTTACTCGAAAGTACCAATTTCAACTTAATTCGCTTATCTCATCATTTTTTGCATTAATATTTATTTATAATTTTTTATTGACCTAAGAAAAATAAAGTAGCATTTTAAAAATTTTTATTCTAATCACAATTTGTCAAACCTATACGAGTATTTGAATATTTTATAGTAATTATAAAGGACACTTTAATTGACAAGAATTTCTAAGAATCATTTTGTCTACATCACATGAAATGATTCAATCGAAAGCATTCGAAAATTACAAAATTTAATATGCAATTGTTTGGAATTTAGAATTCATCATTCGTGTATTTTAGAAAATGATTTGATTATCTTTTCTGAATCCAATAAATTTAATAAATTCTTAGAAACATAATTAAAATATAAATTAATCAAAAATGTAATTGCAAATTCTGCAATACAAAATGGGTTCTCATCAAATTTATTTTTCTCAAGAAATTCATGTGTTGGCAAGCCATATACGTGCAGGTTAATTCAGAAATAAGTACTTTTTATATATACCATCGTTTAAGAAATTTTAAAGTAATGAAATTTTTGTTTTGGAGCTAATTGTCTCAACGGTTTCTGAAATGCCGGGATTTTAAAAAATATTTGGAAAAATTGTTACTTGGTTTCAATATCATAATTTTATTTAATAAGAGAAATTTTATTTTTAATTTTCAATTGTTAAGTAAATTTTATTTTCTTTTTTTCATTAAAAAAAAATAAAGGTTCGTGCTACTGGTAAAATGTATGCCTGTAAGAAACTTGAAAAGAAACGAATAAAAAAACGTAAGGGTGAATCAATGGTCCTGATTGAAAAACAAATTTTACAAAAAATCAATTCAAGATTTGTTGTTAATTTGGCATATGCATATGAAACAAAAGATGCACTCTGTTTGGTATTAACAATAATGAATGGTAAGTTGAATAAAAAAAATATTATAAAATTAAGAATAGTTTTGCCTCAAGCAAATTTATCAAGTTATAATTAAGTACAATTGAAGTTATATTTTAAATCTGAACATTAAAGATTTTTTTTCAATAAATAATATCACAAAACACAGGATTAATTAATCATTCATTAACCTCTAAAATGCTAGAAGCTATAAATTTGTAATGTATTAGATTGTATGATTATGTGCTTCTAGTTAATAAAGGATGTTTGTATAAAATTGCATCTACTAACCGCAAATTAATTTATGGGTTCATGGTATATAATGTAGCAAAAGAAATTTTTTCCAAGCATCTCTGGCGATGTGTACCGCTTAAGAACGAAAAGAACAGCTTTGGTTTTCAAACTATATTCAAACAAAAAGACTTAAACAAAAATTTTTTGCATAATTGTATAGGCTATATAATGCCATACCAAATAAGTTTCGTAATACTTTTGAGAAAAATTTTAATTACCTTAAAGCTTAAAAATGAACTGATAATTCATATACGAGTATGTATACAGACACATTGTATATATTCATATACATAACTTACATTTGTTACTATACAAGTTCATTTTCATTTTATTATAATAAAAAGTTTTTTAATAAAAATTTTCAATATTCATACTTCATATAACACTCTTTAATTGACAAAATATCATCATACTCCAGATAAAAATTCAAATTTCAATTGAAATTCTCATAATATACGAATACCCTAAATATTATGTGCATTGTGTAACAACACATGTCCTACAACACATTTCGAAATTCTATTGTTATTAAATTCAATTGATTTTACAATTAATTTGATAAAATTGAAAAGAAAATAATAATTATCATGTAAATGATGATGATGATGATTGAAAATATAAATTTTATTGTAATTATCTTATAGTTGGAAAATCAAAGTTAAATGAAGATTCCGCTATTCAAATAGTTTTTATAATTCTATGGAATTTTCGATTCTTCCTTATTTTTTTCCTTTTTTGTAATTTTTTTTTTTTTTTGAGAAATACACTGTTGGGTATAAATTCTCATATTACATTTAACAAAAGGGATCAGTATGAAATCGTTTTTTCTACAATGATGAAGAAAATTTTTAATAATACAAAAAAAAAAGAAGAAACCATAATGTTTTCTAATATCGTTTTCATTCATTTAAGAATCGCAAAAATTTTCAGGATTTTTGTTTCGTTTTCATTTATATGATATAAATGGAATAACGGTACAATATGCCTAATAAAAGTTTTATTACAGAGTATGTCTGATCATACACTTTTTAACAATTCCTATGGTATCGTTATTATTTATACATGTAGTATACTTTTATATAACTGTATACATACATGTTTTGTTCGACACTATAATGGAATTGAAAATTATGCTCATTTTCTATATTAGTGACATTAAAATTATAAGTTATATATTTGTATTACAATGACTAAATTTCAATTCCCTTCCCGACCTTCAATGTATGTACATATACATACGTAAAATAAAAATCAAAAAAAATTCTTTTGACAAAAAAAAAAAAATTTTAATATTTAATTTTCCGAAGTATTCATTAAAGAGTCCTTAGAGACTGCTTTCGTTTACTTTAACTTGAGTTTATTTTTTTTAATTATTTTTCATTTTTAGCATATTTTCAATAAATCCACAAAAAAAAATCACGTGCTTTCCCCTCACCCGTTCGTACGTACGTCTATTCACAAAACTTTCCTTTAAGATAGGAAAATGAACTATTTTGTACAAATTTTTACAAGCTGGAAATGTTTGGAAAATTTCTTTAAGTGAAGCACTAAAATTTCTAAAACTGCCTGAATATAAATAAAATATTGTTTTAAAAAGGAAAACATTTTTTTAATGCCGGAAACAACAGAGGAGAGACTAATACTTGCAAAAAATAATTAAATTTGCAATTTTTAAATTCCTTCCTTTGACGGTAAATTGCAAGGCCCTGAAATTTTAGCAGTTAAGTAAATATTATAAAACCAGATAATTTCGTTGAAGAAACATTTTTTTTTGTCTATTCTCATTCTTTTCCAAGTTATCGTGTCTCAAAGTAAACAAAAATCTAAAATAACAACTTAATTATATTTTAGTTTTCCGGAATTCCCCTAAAAGTATGCAATAAGTGATAATATTGTGATTTTATAAAAATTATGTCAGTAGAATATTCTTAAAAAAGTACAAAATTTTCAATTGTTTAAGGAAAATATTAGTATTCAAATTTACTGTTTTCAACAATGTTTGCATTCAAAATCTATTCTATTGGCTTAATGAATTCCTGGAATTTCTAACATTACTGCAGAAAAATTATTTTTCGAAATCTTATAAGTATTTAACAGAATCATTTAAATTTTTGAATTTGCTTGTTATTATTATTCCTGCCATGGAATCCACCCTCAAATTTTATATTTTCGAATTATAATTTTTCAAATGATTTAAACACAAATTAATGGAAAGAAAACAAAAATTATAATTTTTCTTTTTTCTTTATAATTTTGTTTTCTTAATATTCAGTGTTTTTGTTTTCTTTTTTTTAAATATCTTGTCCTTGATGCTATGACTTAAATGCAATGAATACCAACGAACATAAGAAAGAAAATAATTTAAAAAAAATAAAAACAATTTAATTTTAATATTATCAACAAAAATTTATTTGGTTTTAGAAAATATCCTTGAAAAAAAAATATGATTATTTAAAAAAAAAAAAAGAAAAAACAATTTGCGAAATACATTTTTAATCTTAAAAAAATTTAAAGATAAAATTTGTTAAGACCTTGGTCTTAGAATTCTAACTCTTATTAAAATATTAATTATCACGTGTTGTTTATAAGAATAGAAGATTGAATTTTTCTGATATTTCAACTTGAACTAGATTGCTTTTCAAATTTTAATAATTAAAAATTATTTTATGTTAATTTAAATTTTTTAATGCAAAAATTTTTAAATTAAAAGTTTTAAATGTATTTTAAAAATGATGAAAATAAAGAACAAAATTTTAATTTTGAAAAATTAAAATGAATTGAAAATAATTTCGTGTATCTAGAGAGTAAGCAGAGAATTGTTCTTATTTGTTTGCGTAATTGTAAATATTATGGTTTCTTATTTGACAGTTTCTTAAATAACGTGAACGACTTGCAATATAAGTAAACTGCCAAATTAAAGTATAATATTAAAAACGACTGCAATGTTGGCTGATTTAAATAAATGATTATTAGATCCTTTCCAATAATATTATCTGGTATTTCAAAAAACATTACAGACGAAATGTTATTCGAAATTATATACACGAGCAAATATTTTATTTATCGCCTTGGGTTTAGATCAATTGTATATTTTGCAGTCTAGGGAAAAATATCGGTGTCCAAAACAGTTGTATTTGCAAATTTTCACAATTGCTTCGATTCTTGTCAAGTTCGCACTATTATATGAAGACCCTTTAATGTTAAAGAATATTTCAGAATTTTTTCAATATACAAATGTGGCCAATGATAAGAATAATGCAGTCAATCAAACCAATAATCTACAAAATATCAAATCAATAATCACATTTTTCTTAAATAACTTCTAAAGTCTAAATAACGAAACGGTGTACTTAATACCTTGCTCATCGTACATTATACAATATTGTAATTTATTTAATTAAGTCTTAATTTAATTATTAGCTATTATTACTTTGATAATATTCAACATTAGATCAACGGTAGAATTGAAAACTCATGTCTTTTATTAGATTTACTGAATTTTTAAATATAAACTATTAATCTGACTCCTTATCTCACATTTTATAGCTTCTACGTATTCAAATCAAAGTTTTATCTTTACAATTAAAAATTCCTCATTTTGCATTGATTGATGCCGAAGTTTTGTGAACAGGCGCATTTATCGAATTAACGGACGGAAAATAGTTAATAATAACTTAATTTTTTGCAATTTTATTGAAAATGTGATTGAAATCCAATTTTTTTTTCGATTAGAAATGTGAGTTGAAATAGCAAATATTTTAATTTCTACACTTTTTAAAATTTTACAGAATTTTAATTTACCTGTTCTTAGAAATTTACCTATATATGGTCTAGAATGTTTTTTTAAATATAAATAAGAATTCTTTTGTTTTCAAGGTTTTTTCTTTAAAAAAAAAAAAAAAAAGCTATCAAATTATCTGTGTAAAATGCAATCAAAATATTCACTTTTATTATATAAAGTACATTATTGAAATCAAAGGTTTTCTCTTACGTAAACAAATGTGTATATGTAATTATATGAATAATAAATTGTGTAAACATACGTAGAGATACGTATACAAATGCATACATACAAGAATATATTTATTTAAAAATCAAGGATTTCAATCAGATTTTGTTCACCTCTTTAAAAGGATGATTTTACAAAAGAATAAAGAATCTTTCAAAAAGCACTCTTTCTCAACAATTTTATACACAATAGAATTTACTACATTTAGTTACAACTTACCATTCATATAAATATTTATGTATACACTTAAGTTAAGAATCAAAAAAAAAACTTGATTTTTTTATATAATCTTATATAATATCTTGATCTATATTCAAAATAATACTTAAACTATTTTGTCATTCTATTTATTTTATAAAAAAATAGGTGGAGATTTAAAATTTCATATATATAATATGGGTGGTGATCCTGGTTTTGAATTAGTTCGTGCTAGATTTTATGGAGCTGAAGTTGTATGTGGTTTAGAGCATTTACATCAACAGGGTATTGTATATCGTGATTGTAAACCAGAAAATATATTATTAGATGATCATGGTCATGTTAGAATATCAGATTTGGGTTTAGCTGTTGAAATACCAGAAGGTGATTCAGTTAGAGGACGAGTTGGAACAGTAGGTAAGTTATAAACAGTTACAACTTAAGTAACATCTATTTATACAGCTCTCTATATGTGCTAGCTGTATATATTTAAATGACCACATAATATTGTATTCGTGCATTATTGTTATTAAAAGACAAAGGGGAAAACAATTTAATAAAATAAAATTAATAATGCTTTAAATAACAAAGCTAATATATATATATATATAATATGTGCAAATATACATATGTATTTAGTAATAAAAGAGATGAAATGATATGAAAATAAAGGTCAAAAATGCTTTTGGATCTCAGCTTCCTTTATTTTATATTTTTTCCCTTATTCATTATTAAAAAATATTTTAATGCTCTTATTATTCATTTTATTTTTTTTTGTTGTTTTCTTCATTTTTAAAGCTATATAAAGTGTAGGTACTTTAGAAATATTTTTTGGATATAATATGCATATTTATATATATAAACTTACATATATGTACATACATCTTTTGTGCTCAATGTTTCTTTTCATTTTTACTTATAATTTTTATGACATTGTCTATAATTTAATAAGTAAATTTTATATTTATATAGGTTATATGGCGCCGGAAGTTATCGATAATGAAAAATACTCATTTTCACCAGATTGGTTTAGTTTCGGTTGTTTACTTTATGAGATGATTGAAGGACAAGCGCCATTTCGTATGAGAAAAGAAAAAGTAAAAAGAGAAGAAGTTGATAGAAGAGTTAAGGTAAATTATAAAATGTTAAATTTGCTTTCGAAATAATTAAAAAATATAAAAATAGAAAATATATAATAAATAATATATTAAAATTAATAAATTAATAAAATTAATTAAGACAGAAACACACACATATTCTTTATATATTTCAAATAATTTTATTAATTTGTTACATCTCGCAAAATAAAAGAAATGAAAGTTAATATTTGGCAAAAGTAAAAAGTCTTAACTTTTTAATTAAGTTACAATAGGTAATTTATTTGATTTAATTTTATTATAAATTAATTAAATACATAATTGGCCAATATTAATAATCTCAATTAGCATTTAAAAATACATGAACAAAAAATGTGAATATTTAAAAAAATTGCATACATTTAGGGTGCGCTAAAAGAAAATCTCTATTCATTTTGAACTTTAATTATTTTTGTAAGCTTAGATGATTATTTTAATGTGATCACGCTCCGATTAACCATTATATTTTCCAAAAATTTAAATATAACTAACAAAAATATTTATTTACATATTAAAATAATTCAAATCTTTTGCAAATTTCTAGTTCTGAAATGAGTTATGATCCAGAACTACGATAACTAGCTTAAAATTAGTCCAATTTCGTTTCCTTGTTCTATTCATATAGATTCCATTATGACTCATAAACTCATCTTCTTATTCACACATAAATGCACAACAATTGCATATACCAAACTATAACAGTATTTTTATTACAGTTTTATTGCAATATTTCCGATATAAAAAGAAAATTAAATAATTTTTTTTTCCATAATCTAATTATAAATTTTATTACTTTCTATTTTAAAATAAATTGGTTTGAATTATCAATAAAAATCAAGAAAAATGCAAGAGTTATCAAAATATGAAAAAAAAAAGTTGCTCGTATACCATGACAAAAATTATAAAATGTTTTTAATTTTAAAGTTTAACATAGAAAAAAGATTATAAATTTTTCATATATGCATTTAATTTTCGTATATAACTATAATTGAATGAATGATTTTTATTACTTAAATTTCTATTGATTGCTCCTATTAAATTTATAATAGTGTAGAAATATAATTCGAATTATTTTTACTTTACATACATTATATATATTTAAAAAGTCTATCTATCTTGATACATACGTTCATATACATGTTCTATACAGTGTGTTTCGCATAAGAAGGCAAATAATTTTGGCGATGATTCTTTGATCAATTTTCAGCAAAAAATTGTATGGGTGGTTGGGGGTGCAGATACACTCGTTTTCGAGCTACAGTCTCTTGAAAAAAAGGTACGGACTTTTCACCATACAACATAGTGTTATCATTAGAGCTTGTTTTACAGCTTAATTGATTGTTCTTCATTTTTTATCTTACAATTAATTTGATTTTAACCATAGTTTTCAAGATACAGCTTGTCAAAGTCCTAATTTTTGTGTTTTTTTTTTTACTTTTTTTTGTACAAAACTCGAAATTTTTCGAAAATTTTGTTATATGGTTTATTTCTTTCGGTACCTTCTTTTTCAACAGACTGTTGCTCGAAAACGAGTATATCTGCACACCACCCATACAATATTTTTTCGAAAATTTATCAAAGAATTATCCCTTAAATTTTTTGTCACCTCATACGAAACACCCGGTATAATAAATTTGCAATGCAGTATGTGTTTAAAGAATCAATAAATTGAAGAATATCCGGATGATTTATAAATCTATATTTTTTATTTTATAAATTTACGTAATTTATTTCTATTGAAAAATCAAAAAGCCTATACACTGTTGATATTAAATTACTATAATTATTATTCTAATCATAAACCGATTCAGAAAACTCATATATTTTTTATTTTAATTTTATTTTTTATTTTTATTCGAATTCAATGTGATTCATTCAATCAAAATAAAATTTATTATTTTAAATACTGTAATAATAAGAAAGGTCTAAATTTACATAAGTTGAGTCATGTAATTGAAAATTTTATTTTAAATCCATATTTTGTACAGTTAAATGTTATACTATCACGATTTGCACAAAGCTCGAATCCATATTTTGTACAGTTAAATGTTATACTATCACGATTTGCTCGAAGCAAGTCTCTTGAATTTCGACTATAGCCCCTTGAAGCTCCTTTCAATATGTACATTAAAATATTAAGAAAATTTCATCGGTATCTTAACTGGAATAAGTAAGCTTTAGTCAGTATATTATCCTATTAAGAAAAGAGACTTAAATATTTGAAATCAAACTTAAATTAATGCTCTTATACTTAGAGAAATAAGAAAACTTTAGATTTAAATTTAAATTTTTGAAAACCCAAAATTTAGTTTTGAACACAAACTTTATTTTTGTTTAATTCTATTAAAGTCTACTTGGCATTCAACAAGAATATAATGTATAATGTATGTTGTAGATATATCTAAAATATATTGCCTACATAATCGTCAATAAATTTTTCAATAATATTAAGTGTATTATCGATTTTCTCAAAAAAAAAAAAAATTTATGTACAAATATTACTCAAAAAAAAAAAAATAACATAAAAATTCAATAAAATTTAATCATTTTGTGTAAAAAGTGCATTAATTTATTTAATTTATTTATATATACTCGTATATACTTTAAAATACAATACAATATAAATTTGTAGATTCATGTGCACACACAAATAATACGTATATAAATGGACAATTTTTAACTTTTAAATTGAATTAAATTCTAGTAACACAAAAAGTATATACCGAAAAAAAAACATTAAAGTAGGTCAATTTTTATTTTGTCATACAAAGTATATTATGTACATAATATTATGTAGGTACTAATATAGTTTAAATAGATTGTGAATTCGGATTTAGTATCAAGTACAATAAACATTAGTACATATATATATGAATGAATGTATTACATATATTTGTATGTATGTACGGTACAAGTATATTAGAGAGCGATAAAAAGGATGTACCATAAAATTTTATAAATTTAAAATTAAATTTTATCCTTTTTGTATAACAATTTAGAATTATTCTATCTATATTTTTTTGTTATTTTTATTACGGTTTACCATATTACATTTTCTTTTTATATTTTCTTTTATTTTATTTTAAATTTACTTGTACAACATCTTAAATTTTAAAACAAATTTTCTCATCATACATAATTTATATGAAAATGTGTAAGATTGGAAGAAAATTTATTAGAAATTTCTTTTCTTTTTTCATATTTAATTCTTTTTTGCTTATTTTTTTTTTCTTAATAAATATTCTATTTACAAAAGGATATTTTTTATTTCTCTATATTCATTAGAGTAGATATAAAAATAAAAAATTTTTTTTTTTTTTTGGGAAGAACATAAAGGAATTGAAATAAAAATCATAAATACTTAATGTGTATGCATGTGTATATGTATATATAAAGCATGGAATCAATCAGAAATCATTATAGTTGTATTATATGAGAAACCAACATACCATTACCTATAAAAGATTTTTACATTAAATTTTTTCTTCCATATAACAGTCTTGTGTGCCGTTATAGAATTTCTTTATATAGAATTTTATTTTCTTTTTCTTCTTCTTCTATTTTGTTTTGTTTTTTTTTTGTGAAAAATTGTATACGTGCGGGTATAAATATACTTGCTGGTAATGATATACATATGGGAATAAAAACTTAAAGTTGAACGTAAATTAGGAACCGTACAGCCAACATCCATCAAAAGAATATGCAATTAAGTTGAAAACCAAATCACGGAATGATTTTGTTATTATCATACTGCATATTAATCAGCCTAAAATTAAAGATATAAAAATTAAAAAAATTTTCATTATTTTCGTTTTTGATTTTTTTTTTATTTTTAGAATTTTCTGTAATTTTAAATTAATATTTTTTAAAGAAGTACGTACGTATATATGCAGGTACATCTCAATTCTCAATTAAAGAGAAAATTAACATCAAGTTTTGCATATTTTACGGAGCTTATGAGTACAGTTATAAAATAAATTATTGTTGCCATAAAAATGTATAAAAAAAATTTTAATTTTTTTAAATATTTTTTTTGTTTTAAATATTTAAATGCTTAAAATTTTATAAAATATTCAATTTTTTTAATTGTAACCTAAACGTACTTCTAAAATACAATTAATTTTCTGTTACCTTTGTCCTGATTTTCTGATTTTCTGTCCAGATACTTATTAATCTAAATTTGAAATTTATTTATTTTAATAAATATGTAGTTTCAATCGCCTATCACGTAAGAAAATTTAATCCGGAATATATTATTTTAAGTTCCGAATCTGAGTAACACAATGAAAGCCCCTATATATTCTAAAAATTGTTATAAAGATTAAAACTTATATTTATACTTCATATTATATAATACTTTAATTATTTAATTTGAAATTATTTTTGGAAAAAATCATACATTAATATAATTTCATTAGAATCATAAAATAATTGTATAGCAAACAAATTTGAATTTTACATTTTACATTTACATTTAATATTTATAATTAAATAAATATATATATATATATATATTTTTTTCTTAAATTTATAGGAAGACCAAGAAAAGTATTCATTGAAATTTAATGATGAAGCCAAATCAATGTGCCAACAGTTATTATCAAAATCAATTAAACTACGTTTAGGTTGTAAGAATGGACGTTATGGTGCCAGAGAAGTTAAAATGCATCCATTTTTTGATTGTATTAATTGGAAAAGACTTGAAGCTGGTATGGTTGATCCACCTTTTGTTCCAGATGTAAGTGTATACTGCATAATAAAGTTGTATTCCTTAAACAAAATTTAAGTATAAAAACAACATTTAAATAGATTTTAAAGAATTTTATTAAGTTGACCAGTATAGAATATCGTTATTTAATTCATTTCTACTTAATTCATAATTAAACATTTTAAAGAAATTAATGACATTTGGAGTTCTAACAGAATTATTCATTTTTTCAATTTAATTGTTAAAATATTTAAATTCAATCAATTCTTATTTTTCTTCAGTTTTTTGCTGAAAATGCCACTTTCTTAATAACTAAAAAAATCTGATATTTTTCTAATCTAAAATAATTTGCAAAAAAAGCACAAACATATAATTGCTATATACATAAATGTACACACATATTTAAACAATAACACTTTGTATAAAAATTTTATGTTATATAATTTATTCTCAATTACATACATATTATTATTGTTATATATAATTTACATAAATTAAAATTGTAATTTTTCTTTATTAAATTTTGTTATATTATAGCCTCATGCTGTTTATGCCAAAGATGTACTTGACATCGAACAATTTTCAACTGTTAAAGGCGTTAATATTGATGATAGTGATTCAAATTTTTATGCAAAATTTAATACTGGTTCTGTATCAATATCATGGCAAAATGAAATGATTGAAACAGAATGTTTTCGTGAATTGAATGTATTTTCAGACTGTCAGGCGCCTACACAAGATTTATTAATAGATGCAACACCAGTTATTGAAAAAACTGGTTGTTTTCCATTTAGAAGAAAGGTAAAAACATAATAATATAAACAAATTAATATTATATAATTAAATTAAAAATTATTTTATATTTTTTAGAAAAAAATACCGGCAAGAACCCAAGTAATACCCATTCCACCACATTATTTAACTAGTCATAGTCAATCGTCAACACAAGCTGAAAGCTGATAGAAATAATTGTTAATTTTATATATTTCTAATTTATAAAATTTTTTTTTTTTCCTATATTAATTATTATTATTAAATAGTAATAATTTATTTGTAATATTATTTTTAATTTAGTTTTAATTTCTTTTTTAATTTACGATTATACTATATTTGTTTTTATGATTCCATTGAACAATTTGTTAATTTCCTTAAGAAAATTCATAAAACTGCTAAATTTTACATAATAATATAATTATAAATATAGCTAAAATAAATATAACAAAAAATTAGTGAATAGTTTTTAAAATGATTTCTTTATTTATATAAAGCAAAATAAATATTAAATTTATTTTTTGAATAAAAATTCCTTGTATATGTAAAATATTACTTTTTAAATTGAAATTAACAAGTTTTATCAACTTTATAAGGATTTATGCCTAATTTACGTAAATATTATGGGGAATTTTACTTTTTCATAACATTCACATATTATTTTTTTTTTGTGTAACGAATAAATATAATTAAATTACTTTTTGTAAGTTAATAATAAAAATTTTTTTAGATATTTTACTTTTTCTACAAATATTTTGTAGCAATTGAACCTTAACTGTTGATAATATTCAATATTTAAGAATTAGTAAATTATAAAATTTAATTATTATTCGATTTTAAGGATTTTAAGAAAATATAATTTTTATGATTATTATTATAATATAATTATTGAATTTAGTATTTATTTTTCTTTAGCATTTTACTTAGATACATATGTATAAAATAAAAGAAAATATTTTATTTAGATAAAAATTTTTTGTTTTTTTAAATGATCAAAATGATTTTTACGATTCCATAAGTACGCTAGCTCATTAACTTTTATATATTAATCTATTGTCCATTACTTTAAAATTCATCAAATTACAAAAATGGTTTATTCAAACAATTACTTATTGCCACCAACAAATTAAGAAAAACTTGAACTGTTTTCCTTTTTTTTCACACAAAAACCAAATCAAAATGCTTTAACATTTTTCTATTTTCTACATAAGTATACATATTTTTTTAAGCAAATTAAAATCTACAAACATAGTTTAAATTAAAAAATTAACACTTCTTCACAATAGGAATTCAAAATAGAAATTTATTCCTACGATTCAGAGACACAATTTTTTACAGCTCAATATTACTATATAGTCTCTTAGCTCATACCTTTTCTTTTTAATGAATAAAGTAGAAGCAACAGAACTATACAAAATAAACCATTTGGTATTTATATTCTTTATCAGAGTTCTAACAGATAAACTGTTTTCTGACAGACGGCATATCATTTGCTAATTTGCTTTTCTCATTATATTCTACCTATTGTACAAAAAATTCTTTAATATTAATTACAAAAAACTTTATACTTACATAACAATAATTAACAATGCTTGTTTTATTATACACACGAATACAATCACTTAAACGCACAATTAATAATAATTATGTTTTGAAAACGCTTAATTAATTTTTATTTTCTTATTTACTAAAGCAAAATGTATATCGTTTTTTTTTTTTTTGCTTTGTTTAACACAAAAGTTATGCACAAATTATAGTAAAGGTTTTCTTATTAAAAAAGGTTGAAAGTTAAAATAAACTTTAAAATTTATTGTAAAACTCAATTTTTAAATTTAAATTATAAAATCAATAATTATAGTAAAATTTGATTTATTTTGAAATACATATATATATGTATATGTACATACGTACATAATAATTTGTATTGAATTTAATTCAAATAGAATTTTGTATTCAAATGGAAAAAACCAAAATTTGTCGATAAGGGCAAATAAATTTTTAAATGAATATGTTCATTTTTCAAAATAGTGAAACAAATTGCAAATTTATGAATAATAAAATATGTATTAACATTATGATTATATAAAAATATATTAAATAAATAAAAAATTATATTATATTTATAATAATAAATAAAATATAAAATTCACAATATTTTTAACTTTGAATGTTCAAGAATAAATTCAAATAAGAATGTTTTGTATGTGTTTAACTTATTCGTAAAATTATCAAAAGAAGAAAAAAAAAATGAATGTAAATGTTCTTTAATATTTTCTTTTTGTAATATTCAAAAAAATGAAAATCACATACATACATACATTTTAGTACATAAAATCAGAAACATTTTTTAAAGTACATATTTAGTATATAGTTACTTTAGAAAATAAATTTTGAAAGAAAACTAAATTAACTTACCCAATGAAAAAAGGCATAATTTATTAAATACAATAAATTTATTAAAAACATATTGACAATTATATAAATAACAAATAAAAATAAATAATACTGGTACTGAAATTTTTTAAGATGTAAAAAAAGAAAAAACTTTGTAATAGAATCATACAACAATTGAAACTAATTTTTTATTTTTTATTTAAAAATACTAATGAAAAATAAGAAAAAACTGATATTAAACTAAGAAGAATTTAAAATACAAATTTTTAAAAATGTTGAATGTATTATTTTCTTATTTTGTGTATGTACAATAATTGTAAAATATGCGAGTTTTTAAAATTTGTCCTAAAAAATGTCCATTTGGAATATTAATATTGTAATAATATAAAAGTCTAAATCTTTATCTTGACTTTTATATTACATCAGAAGTACATCAAATCCCTTTATTTTGTGCTAACTCAGACAATTACTAAATACGCCACGCACGCACATTGAGAAAGCTGATTTTCTTCTCTAGGAATAAATATTTGAAAAACTTAGAGATTTATTCGAAAAATTATCAGTTTATTTTATAAAATATTTTTATAAGAGATTATCTGCTATAAATATTGTACTTTATTATAATATATAGTTTACTGATAATAATTATAAACCAAAAATTAATTACTCAATATTTTAAAAACTTACAACATACCAAATGCGTGGTGATTACAATATTTTTTTTCATTTTGTTATTTTACTTCCTGTCCTTCTCATTTATATTTTAAAACACAATTACATTCAACAAGTACATTCAACATTTAAAAAGAAGAATTTAACTAAATTATTTATAGTTTCAAATTAAATGTTAAAAACTATTTATGATAAAATAAAACAAAAAAAAAGTAAACGTTTTAAAAATAAACATTTATAATCAATAATGCATAAATAATTAGTAAATAGTATTCATTAAGGAAACATTATTAATAACAAAAAAAAAATATTTTATTAAAATATATTATAAAAATGATAATTTAAAATAATATTTTCGATTGGGAAAATATGTAATCTCTTATTAGGCATTTAAAAAATAATTAAATAAGGAAAAATAAATATTTGTAAGATATAAGAAAAAGGAATAAAATTTATTCTATTTAATTGAAAATAATATAATAATTTTTTTTTATATTTGACTTTTTTTATTTTTATCAACAATATTTTTTATCAAATTTTTATTTATTTAAAAATACAAAACAGTATTGTTCTGTTGTAATTAACAAACGCAGAAATTACAATATTTTAGTACTTGAGAAATCGAAATTTTAAAAGGAAAATTACACAAAATTTGTTAAAAAAAAGGTGCTGAATAAGCCAATGTGCTCTTAGCAGAAAGAAAAAAAAGTTATATTTTTGAATAAACTGATTTCACAAGCTAATTTTAAATTTATTAACATTTTGTTTACGATTTAAAAAACATCATTTTAAAAAATATATATTATGTATATAAATTCTCACACATTTCTTTCAATATTTCATTTAAACATTTCTAAAAAACGTTTAAACAATTTCTCCAAAACCGGTTTCCATTTGAAAACTATGGTGTATAACTGTATACCAAAATTTTCGAGAAAAAAAAAATCTTGTCCAAATATAATATTATTTAATTTGAAAATAAAAATTACAATTTTCAATAAATTTATAGCTTGCTTTTAAATAATTTGGAAAAAATTTAATTTATTTTTAATAACTATTGACCTACAAATGTACATCTTTGGTTAAAAAACATTTATCTATTTTAAATAATATTAGATTAAATAAAATTTAAAAATATTTCATATAGTACGTACTAAATATTATTTAACATGCATAGTTTTCAATCGTTCCAAACTAAGTGATTTTTTTTTTATTTATATGAAAAAATATAAAGAATGAAAAAAATTATGTGGAATTCCTATAAAAATTTCATCATTATAGGAATCAAATAATAGATAGCTATATACAAAAATTTCATTTAGTCTAATACTGCACTATTATTACAAATTATATTCTTTTCCGTTTAATAAATTATATAATAATTAAGTTTATGATTAATTTATAAAAAATATTTATTCCATTATTTAAACTAGCTCAAAAAATTCCATTTAATGTACAATAATTTTATTGTAATTTACAATAAGCAAACTAAAATTCATTATAAGAACAATGATATCGTTAATAATTATGATATCTATATTATATTTGTACATTCTAATTTATGCTTTTATTAATTCAAATAAAAACATTTTTCGAATAACTACATGCATTTTTATCGTTTACAAAAAATATCAAGAACAAACAATTTAAAGTAACATTTATGAAACACAAAAATTCTGCTAACATAGAAAACTCTTTACTCGTCTATTTATGATACATTTAAATTGAATACTCAATTAACTTGTTTATAGCAGAACTATTCTAAGTTAATTTTTCTCAAAAAAAATTTTTAAAGTAATATCCTATGCACGCTCAACGCGACAATTTGTAGCTCATTGATGCACTGTTAGTAGTTCGTTTTCAAGCGCAATAATCCTGTATCCAAATTTTATTTTATTTATGGATTTTCATCTAAAACAAATACAAGTGTTTTTTATCGTTCAAAGGAGTCTTCCGTGAATATGAGTAAAAATTAAATTTTTTCCTTTAATTTACTCTCTTTATTTAGAATAGTTAAGCTCTAAACGGGTGATTCATTATCCTAAAAGAAAATTAATATTCAACTGTAATTTGTTAATTTTTGAAAAAATAAACAAACCTTTTTACAGTCCTTAAAGTTTAAGAAAAAGAAAAACATATTTTTTTATGGAATTAAGACCAAATGAGTTCCTAGTTTAGGTAGTTCAGATTAAGGCATTCAATTAAAATCATCGCACTGGTCATATGAGCACTCTTACCAATTTCTTACCAATCAATTTTTATTCCTTATTTAAATTAGTCTATAACTTATATCTTTCGTTTTTTCGATAACACATTTAGCTTTTGTGACCCTTCTAGATATTTGAACTGACTGCAAGCAGAAGACTTACAGGGCCACAATAATATTTTCTAATTTTTAATCTTTTTTATACTTTCTTTCACAAAATTCATGTTTTTCATGTTTTTAATACTTCTAAATTCCGATTCATGTTTTTAATACTTCTAAACTATAAGGTTTCAAAAAAAAATTAACCAACACTCACTTTTTTTAGATGCTTATTTTATGTTTTTTTTTTGTATATTTTTAATTTTAAACTTAAAGTAAATCAATTATATTATAACTGTAAATATTGATATCATAAAAATGTTGCATAAAAGTTTTACTAAAAAACAATTGTGGAATATTTTTACCATTTATATATTCTTAAATAATATATTCAAACAAGTAATTGTGAAAATATTTGAAAGATTCATAGTATATGGACATATATTGAATTCAGATGAGAAACAACCTATACATTAAATAAAAAACCTACATAATGAATTTTTCATTTTTTTCCAACCATCATGTTAATAAGCATTATTTAACTGCATAAATATTATTTTATAAAATAAGATCACAAATGAAAATATATGAATTTAAAAACTTGACTAAAATAACCAATTTGGTTTGATAGATTATAAGGAAATTATTAATTTTTTATAAATTAAAACAAATAAAAAGAAAAGCATAAAAAGTACATAGAAATTATTAAAAAATATCAATGGATGTTTAGATTTAGTAAAACGAAACGATAATAAAAATTAAACTAAAACCTGCGTTATTTTAATTCAATTACCTACTTTAAAATACTAAAAGGTGGGCTATCATAAAATATCAAAAAGTTTCTTAATTTTCTAACTGTCTTGTATTTTATTTGACATAATTACCATTTTATAACATGGAGTAGTTTCAAAAAATTCTAGATTAAAACTTTTAAATAATATCAAACATCAATAGCGAATATTTTATAAAAATTATTCAAAAAACAAATTTAACTAACTATAATTAATTAAGCGTAAGGTGAAATTTTTGAATTAAAAGAAATTTCTGAACAGCTTCACTACTGCTTGAACCCATTTTGGAACTGGACGACTAGATATTTCGCTTTCAGCTGTTGATCCCAATTTATATAAGTTATCAACCTCTAATTGTAAACGCTTTTGTAAGGACTTATTTAAAGTAACAACACAAACTTGTGATTCTAAATCACGATTGACTGATCTTTCTCCAAAATTTGAAGACCCAATTAAAGTAAGATTTGGATAATTGGAGTTCGGCAGATAATACCTACAATATTTTAAAATCATAATTCGATGAATTTTTTTATAAATTATAAATACAAAAGCAATATACAACTCACCACAAACCCTTTGCGTGATAAGTCCAACTATCTTTTTGATATTCAAAAAAATTTACACGATGTGCTTGTTGTGCGTTGAGTAAACTTTCGTAAAATTTTTTTGCTATTAACGAATATGCCGCGGGTATACCACCCGCAGGACCTTTTGCGCCTTGGAAACCGTTGGCCTGCAAATATTTGTATTTGTTTTTTTATCTCAATATAAAAAATTAAATATGTATGTACATATTCTTTAACTTTTGAAGTATTTTGAAAAATTTTGTAAATGAACTTTATCACATAATTTTAAAAAGAAATATAAAACAATAACAACTTAATGCCTTATTTAAAAAGTAGTACTTACGTTAGGATGTGCCATTAAAATACTGCATTGTGCAAAACAATCATTTTGAATAGTATTCATGTATTCATCAGTTAAATTGAAATAGCCAGTGGCAAGTTTAAACAAAGATCCCGGAACTGACGAAGAAAATAGTTTTTTGGTAACTATACTATCGTGGTGAATTCCTAACTGACCCATTTCGATCAAAGGAAAAATCCATGTGTCTGCATCTAGTGTTATTTAAATTTATTATTTTCAATAATAAATTTTTGTCATAATAAAAATTTTAATCAAATTTTAATTCAAATGTTTACCTAGTCGACTTTCATATTCGTTGTGTTGTTGCACGAATATCTCGTCCATTAATTCGCAAACTCTCTTCTTAGCCTCATTAACAAAATCATATTTTTGTCCTTCATAAGGTAACCATTTCCAATTACTATGCAACGTTTCTTCAGAATTCTTTTGAACTAATAAACTAAATTCTTGAACCTTATTCACTAGCTTCTCATAAAAATCTGCTAAGCGCTTATCTTCTATTAAAATATAACGATCTTGCCTATTTGTAAAATAATCATTAGATAAATTTGCTCCACTTATTAGAACTGAGTTATCAAATAAATAAATTTTCATATGCTGTAAACCTAAAAGTTCATTCCATCTTGGTGGTGCTAGTTTTTTGGTTATTCCTCTAAGTACTGGAGTATGATACATAGACAAGCAAAAATTTCTATCAAACTGTTGTATTAATGGCAAAAGCATTGATTTCGAATTTTGTTCGCCGCGAGTTCCACGGGTAAAATCCAATAACACATTTACTTTAAGATTTTGATTTTTACTTAAATTTTGGTGTATTGTTTGAACAAAAGCCTTCTCCAAATGTCCAGTTCCCATGTACAAACTAGCCAAAACTATTCTACGTTTTGCTAAAGCAGATTTTTCAATTATAGTATCATAAAATACATTTGGCTCCGATATAATTTTTATCTGATCCCCATTTACAGGGAAACATGGTGAATACGATAGTAACCATGTTAAGCTTTCCAATCCAGGTGGAAATATTAATGTTGATGACTTTGCATTGAATAAATCTAATGTTGTTGTGGAACTTTGTAATTGGGGATCAACTACTGTTGAAAATAACCTTCTAATCATTTAAAATTGTGATAAAAACCTTTTTATCTTTCGTGAGTATGGTTTTGCTATTAAAAGGGGATCGTATCGTTTTGCTTTAAAATAGACAAAACTGACAAGTTTTCTTTCTTTATGTAAAATATTCAAAAAATATTATCGAAAGGTAATTTGTTCTTTTTTGTATCAACAAAATGAATTCACAGGTGTTATATGTGATTGATAGATTACTAATGGTTTGATTAACTAATTTCAACTGTCTTAAGCTGTCAACTGTCAAAAAAACTTTACAGGGCTGTGTATGTATTTGCACAAATTTCATTATTTCAAAGTTTGTTCAACATGTACATATTCTAATTGATTGTAAACTAAACCAACAGAATTTATTTGGAAGGCTAGCTCAGTTTGTGAATAATATAAGTAGGTTCATATGTATTTATATAAAACAATATAAAACTAAAAATTTTTTGCGTTCTTGAATTATAAAATTTTTGATGACTTCAATTAAACGCCATGACACCATTTTTAATTCAGAAAAGAGGTCTGTCTGGTAAATGAAAGTTTTGTAACGTTTTAAAAATTTTTAACTGTCAAAACATATGCTGTTCTTTATGTATGTACAAACTATTTATATTTGCTAATTATTTTGAAATTTGTGGTTTATTAATTATTTTATAAAATTTTTAAAAAAGTTTTTTATACTTTTCCATTTGGTTTATTTTTTCATAAATCAAAATTTTTGGTTTTTTGTGAGAAAAGACGTAATTCTTTTCTCTTTTTAAAATTTTTTCAGGTTTTATACCAGACAGACCTATTATGTCATTCTTTTTAGTCCCAATAAGAAACATTGACAAGTATACTTTTATAGGTTTTTAATAACATGTATGCATATAACAAGCACTTGACAAAACCATGTTGTTTTAGATCAAGAAAGTAATGTTTGTCATATATAAATAGGTAATTATGTAAATTTTATTCGTTTTTGATTGGTCAAGAGTAGAAACTTTGACAACCGCATAATAAAATAACTAAGCAGCCCGTATTAATTCGTATTATATTAATGCAAATATGTATGTAAATATTTCGTGCATATAACACTCTCAATTGATAAGAAGAACATGAATTTTTTTGATTAATGAAACGAAACTGGAAGGAAGGAAATGCAAATACGAATGCCTTTAATGTCAATTTAAAAGTAGAATTTAACCTCAATTCTTTACAAAATTTAAATCAGTTATTTTGAGTTACATAAAAAGCAAGTTTGAAGTTTTTATCCAGTTACTACTTCAAAAGTAATAAACTACTAAGGAAGAAGGAAAGATAGCAGTTGCCACTTCTTCGTAAAATAAAGATTATGTTTCTTTACTAACTTTTTTTTAAATTATTTAACTAACATTGTAAACTTGACCATTGCATATATATAATAAATTGAAATGAATGTTAAATTACATAATATAATATATGTACATATGTACATACATAATAAAATACATACATATATAATACTTTACCATTCACAATGGATATTCATATAAGTATGTATAATGTATACAGTGAATAAATCCCAACACATTTTATTTACGGCAATGAAAATCAATAAAATACACGTGGTTATAAATGCAAAATTTTATGCATGCAAAAAAATTTTACTTATATTATTCTTAATCTAATTGATTTTAATTTAGATTATCAATGTAACGGTCAATTAAATTACTCTGATTTTATTTAATTCTAAAACATTCAGTAATTCCATGTCAGTAGGAAAAAGGCAATGTGTAACACTCTCATAAAACTCTAAACTGAGAATTATAAATTCTTCTCAAATTAGCAGGATACTAAATATAAAAAGTAATAATTATAACCTTTGATAAGTCATTTTTTTTAGAAATTATTCATAAAAATCCTATATGTATAATTTCAATCGCAATTTTAACATACAAAATCACTACGTATACCGTGCACCTTTATACATACATGTACATATACGTAATCATTATTTTGTCAAGGTTAAGATTAAAGTAATTTACTTATGTACATATATGTATAAATAAAGTTTATATACATATACATTGTATATAACAGTAATTTGGTTTAGTAAATCCTAGACCTGTTGATTTATTTATTAACGTCTATAAATTGAAAACAAAAAACCGCCATCAATAAAATTATACCACGTAACTGCATGCTATATATTGCTGAAATAATAAATTTGATCGTTTAAAGAATTGCTTGAAATAAATTTTTGTAATTTTTTTGTAAACAATTTTATTTTATTGAGATAGACTGATTTCAAAATTGAAGTAATATGGTTTTAAGACACAGGTTATAAATTCTTACTGTTGGATATTAGGTGCATAGAAATTATATATAGTTTATTTAATCACATACAAAAATTAATTTAATATTAAATACTAAATATTAGAGTAATTATGTAATTTTTATTATAGTAACGTTTGCCGAAATACGGATCTGATGGCAACTAGAATAATGCAGTTTTACAATTTTAATTGCTGAATAAGTTAAATAGATTATATGGATCTGCAAGTAGATGTTACTCATTTTCTGTTTATTTTATTGACAAAAAAAAATATTGAAAAGTTGATAAAAAATTTTACATTTTTAAAAAAGTTCAGTGAAAAAATAATGGACGGTTTGATTCGCCTAAAATCAACCTGAAATTTTTATGAAAATGACCGTATATAGATATGATAAAGTTGGGGCAAACCAATGGTTTGTATTGTAGCACTTTTCCCTTCAACAAGTGAAAATTCTGCTTTTAAATACAGTCTATGTATACCTATCACACTATTAAAATTATTTTCATTCATATACAAAACTATTTCTAGGATTGCATATATTTAGGATGAGCGATTTATGCAGTCTTTGAAATAGAGCAAAAATTAATATAAAGAGGGGTTAACATAATGCTGGATTTTAAGGGTTAATTGTGTGAGTTAAGAAAAATAATTATATTTTTTAATGTAATGGAGTTTACCGTTATAAAAATTTGGAAAAGCTTGCGGTTTCGGAAATATAAGATGTCAAAAATTCAAATTTTACGAATTTCAAGAGGTGATAACTTGAGGTGAGATATAACTTGAGAGAGAGGTGATTTATTAATATCTAAAAGCTCCTAAAATTTCAAGCTTCTACAGTCTTGGGTCTAGAAGAAAAACGACATCAAAAATTTGGAAAAAAGGTCTTTAAATAACGGTAAATTTGAGCGGCCATTTTGTTTTTCTTAAGTTGAACTATAGTATACCGCGCTAGGGGAAGCAAGCCACTGCCTTTCTGCGTTTGCAAAATTTCAAAAATTTTATGGTTTCATTGCAACAAATATTTAAAAAAGGCCATTTTTAGGGTTTTGGGGGGGTATAACTTCTAGAGGGGGGGAGATAGGTAAAAATTTTGTTCTACGGAAATAAGTTTCTAGTGAAGATCTATGTACGTATTAAATTTCAGCTTTCTACCTTCAAAGGTGTAGAAGTTTTGTAAACAGACACACGGACAGACGGACGGACGGACGGACGGACGGACGGACGGACAGAGTGAAACTAATAAGCACTTTTTTCAAAAAATTTTTTGGAAAAGTGCTAAAAACGACATGTAGAAAAAAAAACTGAACAATAATTTTAAATTGTATTACATTAAAGTAATTGATGGTAATAATAACAAAAATAAAAATGTAGCTAAAATGAAAAAAAAAAACAATAAATAAATAAAAGACCATAATATATTTTGAGGGTGGAATTATACTATGGTGGTTTAATTTAGGAAACCTATAAAGTTTTTTTCTTTACTTCAATTCAAAATACAGTGGAAAAAATATTTCGTCGGCTATTGTTTTATTTTAAATCGAATATTCGTTAGTTAGTGCGTGAAAATTGAGAAATAAATTTCATTTTTTTTTTTCTGTTTTAATTTCCATCAATAAAATGAAATAAATAAAAAAATAACTTGATTTAATTTTTAAAATATAAAATTAATAATTACATAGTCCGTTTATAATTAAAATTAAAACTCCAGAAATATTAATAACAGCTACATATATACATATAAAGTAGAAATTTCAGATTAATTTATAAAAAAAGTAAAAATTACAAATAAGAAAAAAGTTAATATTTTTTTTTCAATTCTTTAAAATTCTAGCAATTGAAATGGATGGACCTATTAAGAGTTTTGTACGAGAAATATTTGCGGTTAGTTAAAATAAATTTATAAATTTTGATATTGACTGAAAAAAAATTTTTTTAATATTGGCCAAATTTCACCAATATATTATTATGTAACGGCTTAAATACTAAATTTAAATTTCATAGCCAACAAATCTCTAAAATTTTAGTCAAAAAACTTATTTTAATATTAAAAGGCAAACATAAATCATTAATTATATTTATATTTCATTTTTATGTATATACATTACATACATACATATTATATGTGTAGACATATAATATGTATGTAATGCAATAAAGCAAGATTACTTAAATTAGGATTACAAATCCTAAGCTAAAATTTCATTATGCTAAAACGAATATTATATGATTTTTTAAAGGAATACTCTCACATTTTAAAATAATGCACCTCGTGTCTCTGCATCATTATATGAAATACAGCCATATCTCAACGAATAAAAGTTTCTCTCTTTTACCGATCCATACATATTAAATCGGGAATTAATTTAAAAAAAAAATTGTGCGTGTACATGTTTAATCTTAAGAAAATATCAAAATTAGATTTATAACAAAACTGGCTCTACTAATTACAAAAAATTCTAATACATAAATTCACAAATTCGACCTTGTAATGAGCAAATATTAATGGAACCCTTGACATATTGAAATCAATTTACAAAACTATAAAAGTAAAATCAATAATTCAATTTGATTGAAACAATTTTTTTTTGTTTTGATTTTTTTGTTCTTTTATAAAATTTTTAAATAAATTTCAATGACAAGAAAAGACCTTCTCTTTGTGTAATGACCATCAAATTATTTAGAAAATAAAACAAGCAATAACAAATAAAACATAATAAAATTAAATAAAAAAATAAAAAAAAAAAACAATTTTTTTCCTGTTACCAAGTTCATTTTACAAGAATTAGAACTTTACACTTCCGCTTCATAAAATATAAGTACCTATGTACTATGTTATTCTTTAAAATTAATCCTTACATTAATCCTTAATTTGTAATATTGTCGCTTTTTTAAGTTCCCTTCCGGAAGTTTTGAATTCTTACAGCACAGAGTTTCTCAATATTAATCAGATTTTAGAGACAATCTAGTAAAAAGTCCTACATTATTTCTAATTTATGCTTTAGTAGTTAACCTACATGTGTATATTTTTCAAATTCAATTTTTATATTTAGATTCGTAATTGATTTTTTATTAAATTCTATTTTAATTTACAACAAACTAAATCAAGAACTATTTATAAATTGTGCATTCATTTTATAGAGTAACATTTTCGTTTCGTCAATACTAGTATTATCCATTTAATATAATTCATACTTATGATATTTTTATTTGTTTAGATTTTTTGAAGTTACAAAATGTTCTTTATTCGTAGGTAAGATTTAACCCTGAAGCCCATGATCCGGAAGGTGAAAGAATCGATGGAAGTGGTCAATGTTACCCTAATTGCGATGGTACTGTATGGTTAAGATCATGTGAAAAAGAAATCACGGATCCATTAAAAGGCAAAGTTTCAGGTACTTTAATAAAATTTGTAAAAAATGTTGAGATTCTTATTGACATATTTTGATGTATTTCCAATATTCTACTAAGCACATATTTCCGTAACTAATTCAAAGTAAACTAAATAATTAGAACTATTTAATTAAAGATGGTGTTAATGAAAACGGAAACTTAGTTTACTTTTATAATATTATATAATATTATTTAAGGAAGGATCTAAATTACAATCCTCTACACTATTCAAGTTCCATTCCACTATTTAAAATGCTAGTCTAAAACCCACAGTTCTTAGAAGTTTTTGAAACATAAAAATCAATACATAAAACATGCAAGAAATGGTAACATGTTTTGATTTGAAAAAAGAAATTTATTTCAGGACATATTCCAAAATGGTTAAATGGATCACTTTTACGAAATGGACCAGGAAATTTAAAATTTGGTGATACAACTTATCGTCACCTATTTGATAGTTCAGCATTATTACATAGATTTGGTATTAAAGATGGTGAAGTAACATATCAATGTAAATTTCTTCGTACGGAAACGTACAAAAAGAATCTAGCAGCTCAAAGAATAGTTGTAACGGAATTTGGTACAGCAGCAGTTCCAGATCCATGTCAATCAATTTTTCAAAGAGTTGCTGCAGTTTTTGATCCAGATGGTGCAACAGACAATAGTATGGTTTCAGTTTATCCTTTTGGTGATGAATATTATGCTATGTCAGATGGTCCTTTTATGCATAAGTAAATTGTGGAAAAAAGTTTTTAATTTGTTAAATAACATACATAATGTATTTATCAAAATTATTTTTGTTGTTGTAGAATTGATCCAGTCACATTAGAAACACAAAATCGAAAAAAAATCAGTGATTATGTAGGAATAATAAATCATACATCTCATCCACATGTGATGTCAGATAAAACTGTTTATAATTTAGGAATGTCAGTAACAAAATTTGGTCCGGTGTACAACATCATATGTTTTCCAAAAGGACATAATATGTTTAAAAATGCACATATTGTTGGTTCAATTCCATGTCGCTGGAAAATACATCCGTGCTACATGCACACATTTGGTATGTGTATTTATATTATTATAAGCATATATTATTCATTTTGTATTATAATTATATTAATAATTGCAATATTTTTATGTATTTAATTTTCCCTAAAAATATGCAATATTTTTTTCGTTGAGCTTTCATTGAATACGTCAGTTTCAATTTTTATTACATTTTTGCTTATATTTCAATGCAAAATATAACACACAAATTCAAGTACAACTGCAATTATGCTTGGATCTATGCATTGTATAGCCTTTCTGGTTAATTTGAAAAAAAATTTTTGCTTTGTTTCCAAAGACGCATTGTATATTTTATCAAGAACAAAATACAATTGTAACTCTGAAGTTTTTATTTCTCAATTTCACTTTTATTAAATTTTTATAGGAATCACAAAACGTTTTTTTGTAATAGTTGAACAACCAATGACAGTATGCCTTAAAGATTATGTTAAGGCACAAATGACAAATCAACCAATGATTTCATCATTGAAATTTTTTGAAGACAAATGTACAATAATTTATTTAATGGATAGAAAAACCGGAAAAGTTCATTACACTTACAAAGCAGAAGCATTTTTTTATCTTCATATAATTAATTGTTATGAACAAGATCAACATGTTATAGTAGACATATGCTGTTATAAGGATCCTGCAATGTTAAATTGTATGTATATTGAAAGTATGATGAATATGCAAACTAATCCAAATTATGCAGCAATGTTTCGGGCACGTCCACTTAGATTTATATTACCATTATCAAAAATTGAAAGTTATTGTCCAAATACTTTAATGAAATCCTTATCTTTAACAAGTTTATCTGGACGTTTAACTGGCTATCATTATAATCATCAGCAGCATACAAAACCTTCATTAAAAAGATCAGAATCTACTCAACATGATGTAACATTTTTAGCAGCTAATACAAATTTAGATTTAAGTAACAATAATCCAGAGTTGGATACAAGAGATGTTGTTTTACGTAATTTAATTACGTTGGATAATACTAGAGCAGAAGCATATAAATTACAAGATGGTGGAATATTTGTTAGACCAGAACTTTTAGGCGATATTGGATGTGAAACTCCAAGAATTAATTATGAAAAATATTTAGGTAAACAAATACAATTACAAAACTTTAACTAGAAAATCTATTAATCTGCAAATTTTTAATAAATTGTATAGGTCAAAAGTATAGATATTTTTATGCAATAAGTTGTGATGTTGATATGGAAAATCCTGGAACAGTAATTTAAAAACCCAAAAAATATATGTAATTATATGTAATCAAATAAATCTTTTGTTTATTTATACAGTTAATCAAAATTGATGTTGTTACTAAAACTAAAAAAACATGGAGTGAATATAATTGTTACCCAAGTGAACCGATATTTGTATCTAGCCCTAATTCACAGGTAAAAATTCTGTTACTATTGATTAATACCTAAGTAGCATAAAATTTTTAAGATTAAATTTGATATTTTTCTAGGATGAAGACGATGGAGTCGTGTTAGCTGCTCTGGTTTGGGGTAGTGTACAAGAAGATAGAGCTGGTTTATTAGTTCTTGATGCAAAAACTTGGACTGAACTTGGTCGTTGTGTATTTAAATGTCCTGGACCAGTTCCAAAATGTTTACATGGTTGGTACGCCCCGAGCACAGAATGTGGTCGTGAGCTTCATGTATAATATTTTTACCGAATTTTCCGCTTATTCATCACTTATTTTTCTAAAAATTTATGTGTAAAAAAGAAAATTTATTTTATTTTTTATATAAATATTTCAATAAAATGCTTGAAATACCAACGTTTTCAATATTTCATTTAAAATTTTCATTAAGAGTGAACTTTAATTTAGGTTTCGTTATCAGGTAAGCAAAGGCGTTTTGCCGACCCCTAGGGAAGCATTTCTATTTATCATAATTAGCCTCATTTTTTACCTCGTTTACAGGAGTTTTGCCTTTTCGTATTGTGTAGTTGAAGTTGGTTCGATCCCTTCAGGTTGCCGCTGTATGAAGATAGGCTAATATTGTTAGATTTGCAATGGTTGTGCTCTGGTAGATTTAACTCAAAATTTCTAAAATTATTAAAAACTTTTACCTTTCAAATTTCGTTTTACAACACTGACTATGGGTTACGTATGCATAAAATTCGTACACAAACATACGTGAAACCTAAAATTCTAAAAGAAAGTAAATTTTAAAATGCCAATAAATTTTTTTTATGATTTTAGTCTTTTTTTTTATGTTTCACAGCGCGAAAGCTTTCCTTTTTTTATTATTTTATTTGTTTTGCTTGTTTTTTATGCAAAATTATATTCTGGGAACCATAAATATAATGTTAATGTGCCTTACATATAGGTATACTATTTGTTTACATAATCATGTGTATGCTAGATGAACATGGATTAAATTTAAGATAAATATTAAAGATGTATCCGAGAGTTCTAAAAGCCTATTACAAAATTTAAAAAGGTTGAATGTGACATGTTTTTGTTTATGAAAGAAAAAAAAACTATATAACAACAACATTTCAATATTTACATTATTTAAATAAATTACTATGAACTTGAATTTTTCTATTCCTCTACTAAAAGTACAGTACTTTTTGAAAGTATTTGTTTTGGCTTAAAATCGATGGTAGTTGAAGAAGATATGATATGAAGATATGATAAATTATTATGGCATGTTACCAGTCCTTTTGCTTTCCTTCTTAAGTATATTAACCACTTTTTGTATTTTCAATACGACAATTCAGAAAATGACAGAGAATATCCAATGAGACTGGGGAAAAGCATTTTAAAGCCAATTCGCTCATCAATATTTTCACCTACTTTGTTTAGTTAGATAATCGTTAACAAATTGCTGTGCTTTTCCAGGCGAGTAAATCCTTTTTTGACCCTATATATAGAAATACGTCCAAAACTTAGGAGTAGCAGATAACTTATGTTTTTTAAAGCGAAGTCTTTTAATTAATAAAGAAAATAAATATATGTATGTAATTTTTTTATAATAACTTCACTAACTTTATTCGTTCAATTATACAAGTTAAAAGCATTCAAAATTAAATTAAATTTTTCACCGTCAAAATAAATACTTACTAAATTATATTTAAATAAAAATCATTTGCAAAATATAATAAAATAATAATAATCTCAATATAACAATTATTAACAATAAAAACTAAAAAGAATAAAATTTATAAATCTATATATTTAAAAATATATTCTTATAATTTTTTACTAGTACTGTAATTTAAAAAATGTTAGCATAGTGTTCATATTTATTATTCTGAAAATGTTATAGATGACTTTTGTTTCCGTTTGGAATATCTTTTTCATGGTTTCTGGAAAATTTCTTCATATTGATTATATAAGGATATGAAAAAATTGTAAACTGCAATTTTAAAAAACAGCTGTAATGAACTCTTATAAATTATGAGGACTACTCAAATACTAAAATTGAATATTTTACTTAATATCGTTATCAAATATTATTTTTGTTAAATATCAAAACCGAGAAATAATTTATGAACAAATTTTTTGACTTTATATATTCAATTTAAATTAAATCTATTGCGTACTTGACTTAGAATGATCCGAGTACATTGTTGTGTTACTGCAATCTTATAATTACTTAACTAATGTTTAAAAAATTTAAATATCCAATTTAATTAGCTATATGCATCCATAAAAATAGTATTAACAAAATGAATAATTTTAAAAAGTCTTGAATTTTTGATTACCTCATATATGTTAAGTAAAATAAGAAGTATAATTGAAATCCTAAGATTTGTTTGAATAATTTTTCTATTTCATTTTATATTCATTTTATAATAGAACTTTAATAGTCCCTGTATTACAATAACCTAATAATACCAAGAGTTTATATACATACATCTACAATATTAAATTTTATATTGCTATTTAAAAAATAGTAATTTTAGAAAATAAAAAACAAAATTTAAGCTTTGACTAAATTCTACTTGTAATTTTTGCAATCAGTTTTGCACTTTCATTCAGTCTAATCACAATACAAAAAGAGAATTCTTGGATTATTTTAAGAGCAAACAGATCGACTAGATCAGCTGTTCCTTTTATTAAATTTACATTAAACAATAATAAATTATACATAAAATTAATTAATAATATAAAAATAACATTTCTTTAATGCAAAAACAAAATTTTTATATTCAAATTAAAGTATAAATTCTTTATAAGAATAAAAAAATTATGATAAGAAAAAGAAATTTAAAATTCAAATGAATATTACAAAATTTCATTGGAAAATTTCAATTTTTGAGAAAAATTAAAAATTAAAAAAAAAAACTGCCCAATTAACTAACGTTCAATATGTGTTTTAAACTGAAAATGTTTATATTTAAAAATTTCTTGGATTTTGTAAAATTTTCATTTCTTTTAATAATAATTTCAAATAATTTAATTGCAGCTTCAATTGATTTTTGTAAGTTTGTTTTTTACATAATAGAAATTAATTTTAAGTATTGCTTAGCTTTACAAATTTACATTAACATTGTATGGATGCACAATTTAGCAATTACTCATGAGGAAAAACTTATAAACTAAAAAATTTTGTGTATTAAAAACGTATTACAGTAATTTAATGAAGTTAAAATATTCATATTTGAATTTTTTAATCACTGGGTTGGAGAAATAAAAAAACCTTCTCCAAGATGCATTAATAAAAAAAAAATCAGTTATATAACGTATTAAAATTTTTCAAGTGTATCTTTTAACACCATACTCGTACATACACATACTTATGTATGTAAATTTTTGTAAACTGCATAAATTTTCATATTATGCTTATAAAATTTTATAAATTTTATTTTGCTTCAATTTATTTTTGAAAGAGCCTTCAAGCTTTTTTAGAGCTTTTAATTTAACATATATAAAGTGGCCATATATAACTCATAAATATGTATATGTATTATATATATTGGGAAAATTTTATTATCATAATATTTATAGGATAATAAATAAAAGCTCTTTTTTATACCTATTAAGGCAGGTATATATAGCACATGTGAAAAAAATAAATAAAATTATAAATTTTAGTTCCTTTTATACTACGATACCTACTAAAGACCTATTATTAATAATGAAAATTACACGTACATCGGCATACGCAACTTTATAATTGAGGCACTCAGCGTATTAGTGCCTTACTTGCAAAAATGACATTTCGATTAAATCGCTATTGAAATATTTAAATATTTAATTTTTAAGAAAATTTTTAAAAAGCAAAAGCAAACTTATGTCAAAATAAAGTGAAAAATGAAGTAAACTAAGTATTTTAAAAATATAGAAAAATTCTTTAGGCCATTACAGCTCAATTGAGCATAATAACTCATTTTTGTAAAAATGTTGGATATGCCACTAATGCGCTGAACGCCTCAATTACACATTAATTTTTGTATTCCTATTCATATATAAGAATTTTTAAATGTACAAAACTAAAATTGATTAAAATACTAATTAGATATTCAATATAGTAACCTAATTTCTTTTGTAACATTAATTATGAATTTTAATGATGAATAAACTAATGTATGTCGATATATATGTATATATACATATATGTGTGTATGTTAAAGTAAATAATCTGAATCTACTTATGTAAAATATTTGAATTCTAATTCATCATTTGCAATTTTTAGATAATTGTTTACATATGTGGGTATTATACATATTATGTAATTGGGATTGTGCATAATTATCGTAAGATCAAAATTTATAATTAGAAAAATTACATTAACATTAAGGCCACATTTCCGTTAAAATCTCTTTTTTATGTTTTAAAGAATCTTGAATAGTTTTATAATAATTTAAACAAGAACTTCTAATTATAAATTCTTATTGAATTGTTTTTTAATTTTAAACAGATTAAAAGAAGTTCTCCTTTTAGCATCTTTTTAAAATAAAAAAATTTATTTAGCATTAAATTTTCTCAATTTCGCATACCAAAAAATACACAAAACTAATTATTTTTAATAATTCGTAATTACTTATTTACATTCATGATTTTTTTGATTATCATATTTTTGCTTTATTCAAATATATGTATATATGAATATAGCTTATACATCAGTTCGAGATAAAATTTTAGAAAGCGAACGTGTAGCTGCAACTGGTGGTAGTATATGGTTGAATGCAAGAGAAGCTAAAGCTAACGCAATTTTAATGAAGGCTAAAAATCAAGAAGTAATTTAAATTATTTTATTTTAATAATATAATAATTATTGTCTAACATATAGATTACTGAAGGATTAAGAAATCCTGATATATATGCACCATCAATGCATTTCTTTCATGCTAAATCACGTATTCGTCGATCTGAAGTTTTTCGTATCATTTCTAAAATGCCAAAAGGTTCATTTTTACATGGACATCAACGTGGAATGGTATCATCAAAATGGATTATAAAAAATATAATGTCACAATTTAATGTATTCTCTTGTCGTGATCAACGTGGTATTTTTATATTCACAGCTCGTAATCATACAAAATGTGTAACACCATTAGAAAATGTTTGCACAGAACGAAATAATTCACCAGATAAAAAACAATATGATAGGGTGCTAGAAAAGCATATCAACATGTTTACATTGCATCCAGAAAGTAAATAAAAACAAACTTATATTATTATTTATTTATTTATATATATATATATTTCATATTATATTTTAAAGTACATAACATGTAAATATTGTATTATATACACAAATATTTTGTTATAATTTAAATTTAAAAGAAAATCACAACCACATTAAGCTTTTATTTCCAAGTCCAAGGTCAGTTTTCAATTACCATTTATTATTATAGTGAAAATTTTTTCATATTATGTTTATTTTTTTATTTACATTATTAATGAAGAGGAAAAATTGCATGCATGTTCTATGACGTCAAGTGAATTAAGAAAAATTAGGTTAAACTAATAATGGAAAAAAAAATGATATATTAAAATTAAAAAATTAATTTTTGGGATATTAACCTCTGAAATCTTTGTTATAATATGAAATTGAAGTGATTCAAAGCTAATCTGCTGGGATAAAATGGATTCGGCGATGTGTACATACTCGTAGTCATTGAAATTTAAAAAGTTTCAATGTTTTTTATTAATGTTAACACGGAATGTATACATTTCTTTTTCAGTTGGTCTTACGGAAAGAAATAAACTTTGGGAGAAATTCGAGAATATATTTTATGCAACTGAAGATATTTATAAATATTTGCCAGTATTCCGTGAATATAATAAGCGAATATTAGAAGAATTATATGCAGATAATATTATGTATGCAGAAATAAGATCCTCTTTATCACCGGTATATAAAAATGAATTAATTTAATTATTTTTTGCTCACAAATATAAATTAATATTTAATATATGTAGCTCTATTGTGATCGAAATCGTAATTATTCGTCATTAGAGGTTTTAAATGAATTGGAACAAATTGTAAAGGATTTTAAAAAGACTCATCCAGATTTTATTGGTATGAAAATAATTTATGCTAAAAAAAATAATGCTAACAAAGCTGAAATGTGTAAAAGAATAGATACTTTTAAAGAATTATAGTAAGTATATAAAAGTTGATATATTATTCTTAAAAATTATAAAACTTATAAATGAAATAAGTATTTTTTCAAACTTGTTTTTCCTCCTATTACTTAACCAAAATACATATTTAAAATGAACAGCTCCATACACAAATATGCAATATTCAAATTTTAAAAAACATATTTGATTTATTTGTTATAGCAAAGCAAAACCGAATATTTTAATTGGTTTCGATATTGTTGGACAAGAGGATTTGGGTGAACCGTTACAAAAGTTTATTGATGAATTATCAGAGTTACCAGAAGGAGCGAATTTTTTTTTTCATGCTGGTGAAACAAGTATGAAATAATTTCTTTTTTTTTGTAAAATATATTTTGTACATGATTAAATTTATTTTTTAGATTGGTTCGGGAAAACCGATTTAAATATGTTAGATGCAATTTTATTAAATACTCGTCGTATCGGACATGCTTATGCATTAGCAAAACATCCTCAACTATGGGATACAATAAAATCAAGAAAAATCGCAATTGAAGTAAATCCTATATCAAATCAAATTCTTGGTTATATTTGGGATTTACGTAATCATCCAGCAGCATTTTATATTGCTGAAGATTTACCATTGATTATTTCTGGAGATGATCCAGGTATTTGGAATGGAAAAGCATTATCATACGATTTTTATTATGCATTTATGAGTTTTACTTCAGCACATGCTGATTTAAGAGTTTTAAAACAATTCGCTCTAAATTCAATAAGGTATCAAAATTTAAATATAATTATAAATCTAGCACATAACTTATTAATAAAATTTTTGTGATTAATTTTTTTTAGGTATGCAATTTTAACACCAGAAGAAAAAAGACAATTCAACAAAATTTTTAGTAAAAAATGGGATAAATTTATAGATGAAATAATCAATTCAAAATATTAATTTTAGTAAATTTTAAATGTTAAATACATTTATTTATAATTTAAATTCCATATAAATTATTAAAACTTTAATTTTTATAATCCAATTGAATTATTTGTTTTTCAAGAATCGAATTTTAAATTTATTGCATTATGATATCGATTAAGAAATTGTTTCAAGATATACATACATAACGTGTATATATAATACGAGTATGTCCGCCTGATATACAATAAGGAATTAAAATTTATAAAAAATTTTGACTGAATTTACCTTATGACAAACAATTCATTTCTTAAATTTAATTTTTAATTTATCACAGCAGAAACAATTGGCAGCAAATCAAAAAAAAAAATTGAAGCCAATATGAATTTCGCCTAAAAAACAATAGGATGACTTATTTACCGAATTATGCAGTGTAAATGATTAATTAATTCTACTCTTACAATAAAATGTTAAAATATGTGAAGCAAAAGGCATCGTAAAACGCAATTTTGAACCTTACATACATACATATATACAATATGACAAGTAAAAATTATTTAATCTTAAAGTCTTCATCAACAAAAATAACATATAAAAATATATAATTTTAAATTAGCACACATTTTAGTTTTTGGTAAATTGTATAGCTCAACTCTACATAAAAATTTAAATTTTTAATATGGTAAGTATAGACTGCAAATTCTTCTTACAAAATTTATGAAGTAGTAGATTGCAAATTCCAATATAAAAGATTTGTGATATTCGGGTGTGAAATAAAGTTACATAATTTGTTAATTTCACGGACTGTTTAATATAAAACTTAACAATTTTATTTTTATCAAACATACATACACATGTTGTGTATGCACACATTTGATCCACACAACTAAGAGCGGTTAAAAAGTTTAATAGCTTATATGAATGTATCTAAAACATTTGTCTGGTTAAAAAGAAAAGAATTTTTAATAAAAAAAATTAATTTTAATTCAAATTCTAGCTATTTTTTAAGTTTTCTTTAATATTTTTAACATTAACTTACTTCTGTTATTTTTAAATACAATAAATTAATTCGAATTCGACCAAACTTCGCTAAATTTGATGATTTTCCCCCAACTGAAGAATGCTTTAAAACTTTAAATTAACCTTCGTTTTAAATTGCTGTTATATAATATTTCACGTTATTCGGTAAGATAAATTTTAATACAACAATGAAGTAAACCTATATATATATAAAATAACAGTAGCTTTAAATTCATCGCTTAGGCATTGATAGACTTTAACCAATCTAAACACTTAATTTGGTTTTATTCTTTGTTTTTTGTTTTCTTTTTTGCGATACCTACACTTCTGAGGGATCATCTGCAATAAATAGGTATTTGAAAGTTATATTTAAATTACAAGAAATTAGTTATTGTTATAAAATATTTTTTATTTTAATAAACTTTTAGTGTTTTTGGAGCTGTTGTCGTGAAATATATTAAAATTCAAGTTGTTGCGAATTTGATTAATAAATATTGAAGTAATTTTGTTTTCATTTTAATAGAAAAAAAAATCACAGTTAACTTGAACAAAATTAATTCAAATTAGTTCAATTAAAAATTTTTAAAATTGTCTTGCAAATTTGTCCTAATTATTCGCAAAATACCCGTAACATATTCAAATTAATTTTTAAAAATATTATTGTTAATAGGAACCTAAGTCCTTTTTGTATAAAAATCCACAACTCATAAATTTTAAAAATTAAATTTTAAAATAAAATAAATATAATAATATTATTATTATTAATGTATCAGTATAAGCGCCTATGTTATGTAATATGAGTTAAAACTTCTTTTAATTGATCACAGTGCTCGAAGTGAGGCGTGATGGAGTGGGATGCCATCCCAGTACTTTTAAATAATTGGAAATCCATCCCACCACTTAATAGGAGAGAAAAATGCGTTTCGGAACATGGTTTTTAAAATTCAAGAAAATTTTCTAATGAATTTTAAAAATTTTTTTAACAAAAAATTAAATATATGTAATTTTAAATAAGACCAATTTCAAATAGTAACGTATAATTTATTTTTCTATTAATGAAATTTTCGTTACTACATAGTAGTCTATGCATTTCTTTGATAGCAATTTGCACAGTTTTTGATTCAATTTTTAGTTAATTTAATTTTGAATATAAAAATATTCTCGTTAGTTTACTTCCAAAGTTTGGTAAATTTTGTTTAGTTATTTTTTTAAAAAATAACTAAAATAATACTTTTTTTTTTTTATTTTTTTTTTTTTACCATCCCACCACTTTGAGTATCCCACTTTGACCATTGTGATCATAATAAAATAGCTAAATAATCAGGAAAACTTAAGAAGATCTTCCTTCCAACATCTTAAAAATTTAATGAAGGAATTTATTTTATTAAAATCTTATTGAACATTAGTAACTTGTCAAACTAATTATTTTAATTTAATTTTCCAAATGTAATCATATACGTAGTTATTTATTTAAAAAAATTCCATTTTTTCAGTTTCTGATGTATTAAAATCTTTTTTTTCAGTAACCGAAAAGGATTGTTTTTGCTTTCAATTATCAAAAAAAATCTTACATACACATTATATTTTCTATTCGTTTATTTTTATAAGTCTATTGTAAATGAAAAACATTAAAATTAATAAAATTTTTATAATTTTAAGTCTATTAATATTTTATATGAAGACTACTATTACTGATAATCTTTGTAAGTACCTATAAAAAAAAATAATTTAAATTGAATAAATTTTGAAGATAATTTCTATCTATTATCTAATACACAGCATGGAATAAAATTCGAAATTCTGTAATTCAAACAGAAGAATTTCTTAGTACCGGAGGTAATTTACGCCTTTCAACGAAAGAAGTTTTTGTTGATAGAATTTTAATGAAATACAAAAATGATGAGGTAAATTGAATTAATCTAATTCTTTACGATTAGTAAAATTAGTTACACATTTAGCTTAATGAAGGCTTTAACAATCTAGAAAAGTTAGCTGCTAGTATGCATTTTTTCAAGGCTAAGCAATTGATTGATAACTCTGAAGTTTTTAAGCTTTTAAAATTAATGCCAAAAGGAGGTCTTTTACACGGTCATAATGCAGCTATGGTTTCATCGGAATGGATTATAAAAAATTTAACTTATTATCCTGGTTTACTAAAATGTACTAATAAAGATGGAGTGGTTATATTTTCATTCAGAAAATCTGATTCACATAATTGTAACACAAATTATGAATTGGTGGCAAATGAAAGAAATCGCTCTAACAATCCTGAATTTTATGATCGAATTTTGGAAAAATCTATTAATTTATACGTTCCTAGACCGGAAGGTAGTTATGCCTTCAATTCACATATGTATGCGTAAATTAAGCATGTTATTTAATAACTTTTTTATTTTTATTATATCTTTTTTTACTTAAGTGGAATATCCAAATATTAAAGTAGTTTGGGACAAGTTTCAAAATATATTCTTAACTGTAAATGATTTTATTAAATTTTTACCAGTTTTCAAAGCCTATCATTATCGCTTATTAGAAGAAATGTATCAAGATGGAATTTTTTACATTGAAATGAGGCATACATTCTCTCAGGTAAATTTATTGATCATGAAATTACAATGAAAAAAATTATTTAATTTCCATTTTTATTAATTAACTAATTTAAACGTGTTCGTTATAACTTACATTTAATATTTTTAAAATATTTTCTACCATACAGGGCTATGATCATAAAAATTCTTTAAGCGCTATTGAAATGACCTTAGAACTTTTAAACGTTGTCAAAGATTTCAAACGCACACATCCAGACTTCATTGACCTTAGAGCTATTTATCAAGTGAAAAGACGCATCACAATCGAAGAATTGTCACAACAAATTTCACAATTTTTAACACTGCGGTAATTTATACTATAAAAACTTCTCCTAAACCCCATTTGTAAATGTGAATTTAGTTCATATTTTCCAGAATTTATAATTGGAATTGACTTAGTGGGGCAAGAAGACACTGGAAATTCTCTGTATTATTATTATAAGTTATTGCAACAGTTATCTCCTACCAATAGGTTTTTCTTTCATGCTGGCGAAACAAGTAAATTTTATAAGTTTTTGAAATTTCATATAAGATCATTAACAATTTTTCATTTCATATAAGATTGGTATGGAGTTGCTGCTGATTACAATATCTTGGATGCTATTTTACTAAATACGACCAGGATTGGACATGGTTATGCACTAGTAAAACATCCGGTTCTTTGGAATTCTGTTAAACGTTATGGCATTGCTATAGAAGTTAGTTTGATTTCAAATCAAATTCTACATTTAGTTGAGGATTTACGAAATCATCCTGCGGCATTTTATATTTCTGAAAATATACCAATTGTTATAACAAATGATGACCCAGGCTTTTGGAATGCTAAAGGTTTAAGCTATGATTTTTATTACTGTCTAATGGCTGTCGGTTCAAATAGAGCTGGTTTAAAACTATTGAAGCAATTAATTATCAATTCTTTAAAGTAATTTTCTCTAATATTTATAGTTATTATCACAACACAAAATTTACTTTTAGATACAGTGCAATGACTTCTAACGATAAAAATATTGCAATAAAAATTTTTCACAAACGATGGAATAATTTTTTAGATCATATAATAAAAAACTATAATTTATACAATTCAAAAAACTAATTAAACGTATGTTTTTATTCAACTCTGTTTAACGTCAAATTTACTTAGTTGTGAACTAATAAAATTTTTGCAACAAATCAAAATTTGATCGTAACATTTGATAAAACCATGGACCCCGCGCTCCTAAAATAATTTTTTTATATATATGTATTTATATATAGTATAAATATAACATTTACAAAATATGGATCGAAAATGATTTCGTTGCGAGTATTTCCGTAGAGTCCCAGTAACTTAATTTTGGCTTTGCTATTCGAAGGAGCTAATTCTTTCAATTCAGCCATGTTCATTTCGTCCATACCAAAGATATAATCAAAAATAGTAAAATCTTCTATAGTAATCTAAAAACAAAACTTTTTTAAAATTCCTAATTTTTTAGGTATTTAAAATTCGCAAACTGCTAATCCAGTTAGAAAATATTATTCTGGGCTCTAACCTAGTTTCAAACTTAATAGAATAATGTCTAATTATGGTACTTGTATTGAAAACTAGATGAAAAAAAGGCCTACGCCTACCTTACGCCCAACATGATTGCTTTTTAATCCTCGTTGGCGCAATATTTCTAAACATCTAGATTGCGGTGGACACCCAACATTCCAACTTCGTAAAGCTGCGCTATCTATTGTCCAATTTAATTCATTATGGGGCATAATTAAACTTTTCAAAATGCTTTCTGCCATGGGAGATCGACACGAATTCCCTTAAATTTTTTTTTAAATATGATCATATATGCAAGATTTCTAGATGTAGTTTTATAAATGCTTACTTACCGAGGCAGACAAAAAGTATTTTTAAATTCCCAATGTTTTCACTTTCCATTAATTAAGGCTTTTATCCTAAATTTGCTCGGCATAATGGCAAACAACCAAACCGAAGTTTCTTTTTGTTATCTTTTGTTTATGTAGTATGTATGTACATAGAAAGCTGAAAGGATTTTGACACTAAAAATATATATATGTAAATATTTACATCTTCACATAACCAAAATATTTATATATTTTTAAATGCTGTCAACCTTACATAGCGTACGGACAAACTTGTTGCTTCAATTATTGTCAATACAAGTGCTACAGTAGCCTGGTAGCGCTACTAGCGGTCATGCGGTTTACTAATTCGTATACATTTTTTCTATTGCATTCTCTCGAACTTCTTTAAGTTGCATTAAATAATTGTATTATTTTATTAATTATATATATTATCTATTATTAAAAATAAAAATTTATTGTAATAAGAACAAACTAAACAGCTGTTACTTCAAATTTATTCAAAAACTTACATTTCTTACTTTGTAATATTTATGAATTGTGTTTACTCGGCAATAGTTGAATTCACAAGGTAAGTATGGAATTGTACGTAAATGATTTTGAATGTTACATTTTTCTAAAAGATAGACCAAAACCAAAAAATTTCAACTTCAGTGAAATAAATTTTTTAAAAATTTGTAAATATGCTTGATAATATTTTCCACATGGAAAATACCTGAACATTTAAAAAAAAAAATAATTTGCACAAATCTTTTGCCGCGGAATGTTTAAATTTCTCTGCTCTGCTTTGGTCATTATATTGTAGGTGACATGAGTAACCTTCAATTCAAAATGCGTTCAGAAAATGTACTCCAGTAGCTGTACGTATCCCAATTCAATAACGGCTAACAAAACGCTTACACAGATTTACCTTACCAGTTTTTCTATTTTTCAATAAAGAAAATTATAACAAAATTTTGCAGCTTTATTTTTATAAAAATGAACATTCTTCATGTAAATTCTTCTAGTATAAATACATACTACATATTTCAATTGCTTTTATAAAACTTGTAAATATCATATTTTACATTACGATATTTTAGTTGGAATTCGGAGCCATTAAATTAAATTTTAAGGAACAAATGCCGATAATTATACAGAATTTTGATAAATTTGGGTCAGAAATGGAATGTCTGTATGAGGCAATGAAATTTATTTTTTCCCCGGATTTTATTGACAGCTCTATAGCCACATCATTTTTAAATAAAACGCAAGCTGCCGAAGTAAAAATAAAATATTCTTATCATGTAATATATTCAATTACGTAATTCATAATTTTCAAAAATAACATATCATTTCATTTAAATCGTTAAGTTTAAAAACTAGTTTTAAATTTTAGAATGATCTTGAAACTGAATACTGGGTTAGTCGAAAAAAGGATGACGTTGCATATATACACTTTTTAAAGAAAGGAATCTCTAAAATTATTTCTATTAGTAATTTTCATTATTCTGTAATGAATGTTGGGAAAACTGAAGGTGAATTCATAAAAATTATAAAAACTGATCGCGAGAACAAAAATTTATTGATAAAATTTTGCACCCATTTTGATGATAGGCCTCCCGTACGTGCAGAATTATATTCTACTTTTTTCTACAATTTCTTATTTTTAGATTTTTGAGGAAATTTGCGATTTGCATCGTGAATACTATACAATAGGTAATGAACTTCATCCCGCTATGGAAATTTTAGAAACTGCGTTATATATAACCGGACATATAAAGAAAACTAAGAAAGAACATCATTTCAAAATGTTTCTGCAATTAATAGGACTTATTAATACGATATTTACAGAGCTCACAAATAATACATACAAAGTAAAATTTTTGATTAATTCTGAATACATTAAAGAAGATTTAACAGTTTCCTTGAATGCAGTACGTATACAAAATTGTTATAATCTCTGTTTAAATATGTTAACTCTTTATTTTTAACAATATCATGTAAACTGTGAAATTTTTTAAATGCAATGCATTAATATCAATCAAGTAGATTGAATAGATTATTTGCAGTTTTGAATATTCAAACTATTCAATTATAAATTAATTTCATATTCATAGAAATTTGATGGCAATTTTTTAAAGGATGTCACAACAATAATATTAAATAATTTTGACAAACAAGAACTGGTTTGGACCAATGCTGAACCGTACATCAAGACTTTATTAAAAATAGCTTACAATATCTCAATGGCAAAAGCCTTAAACATGAAATTGCTGTTTTTGGATAATTTGACTGAACTAAAGGAAAAAGAAGAAATATTTTATTTGCAAGATAAAGCAACCCGCTCCCTACTCCAAAATGAAGAAATTTCAATGTCTAATTCTCGGAATTATTTATTTAAAATTTGTAAAATTTGCAAGAAACACAAAATTACTTTAATTTCAAAATACGATGGTTTTTTAACAAATTTGGAAGGAAATATAATTATTGGCAAACAACTAAAGGAAGAACTTCAATTTGAAGTAGTTGATAAAATTATAGTAGACACAATTTTCGATAACTGAATCAATTGAAAACTATTTACAACTTTGAAATACTTAACTTTCGAACTTTCATATTTTTATTTCACAATCATATATTCTAATAAAAAAACTTCATTTTTAATAATTAAAGGCTTTTTAGTTTTTTATGTATACCATATAAAGCAATATAAATTTTGTCCTAAAAGTATTTTCTAGTATTATACATAGATAATTAGAATATCAACTCAAATGTTAATTACTATCATTATCAGAACTGCTTAATTTAGTATTTACAAAATTTTTACAACAAAGTGAAATCTGATCATAACATCTAACGAATCCATGAATTCCATGTTCCTTAATCAAAAATCGTAAAAAAATAATTAATATTCTACCCATTGAATATGAAAAATATAAAACTTACAAAATATGGATCTAAAATTATTTTGTCTTTCGGATTTCCATAAACTCCTAATAATTGCACTTTTGCTTTGGAATTTGTTGGTGCCAATTCTTTTAACTCCGTCATGTTTAGATCATCCATACCAAATATATAGTCAAAGTTGCTGAAATCTTCAATGGTAATCTAAAAATAAACATGAAAATATTTTGTACCATGAAAAACGTTGATGTAATTGAAAAAGCAAAAATTTAAAAATAAATCACATACTATAAACTGGAAAAAAAAAATTAGATTAATTTTAAATCACGGAAGAAAGGACAGGTGGGATACAGTTACTTTTTAAGAATGCACAACAAAAAACAAAAAAACTAGTTTATAAAAATTTATCTCACCTAATGTAGCTTAACATAATTTATCTAGCGCAATAACCTCATAGTAATTGTGATTAAAAAAAATAATAAGGTCTTAGGAGTTTGGATATCGAAAATAATAAGCTTTTTATGTACTTATATGTACTATAAGATATTAGGTACCTGTATCCAGTCAATTTCAATGTTTACTTTCAAAGAATCACGACAACCACATCCTGGAATAATTCTTCGTTTCCAACACGATACGTGAACAAATTTATTAGCGGAATAATGTATTTTTGATTGTGATGAGTGATAGCTAAAAGACATCAAAATTACGGTACACAAAACTTACTTTACGAGCGATATGATCACTTGTAAGTCCATGTTCGCTTAATATTTGCAAACATCTAGGCTCTGGAGGATATCCCACATTCCAAGACCGTAAAGCAGCACTATCAATTATCCAATTCAAATCCTTATTATGAGTTATATTTTTCAAAACACTTTCCGCCATTGGCGATCGACATGAATTTCCTTTTGAAGTTAATAAGAAATATGTATGTATATTAATTTAATCCATTTTGAAGAGAACTAGATTTACCGATGCAAACAAATAGAATTTTTAAATCCTTAATATTTTTACTCTTTCCTTCTTCCATTTTAATTTGCTACTTTTTCTTAGCCTTAATAATTTTGCCGCTTTTGAATGAATACAATTTTTCTATTATAAAGAAAATTTTTAAATGAAGTACTATACCATTTTGTGAATGATTCATCCACAAAACTTTTATTATAATTTTTTGAAATATCCTAAATAGTGTTTACTGCAATAGTGACTCACTCAGAATACAATTAACTTTATTATGTTTACATTATTGCACAATGCAATGTAATTAACATATGATATATGACAAATACATATAGGAAAGCCTAATGAGATTGAGTAGTAGCCAAATAAATAACAACTATGACTTTTCTACTTCTCAATACGTCAAAATGAATATTTTGACATTTTACATAAGGAACTGCCATAAGGTGTCGTTTTAACTAGACACTATGCTGATTATTACGTTTTTTTATACATACATATAACAATTTCCTTACGCACTATAAGTTCATGTGGAAAATAAATTGTTTTAACAAATGCATATATTTAACTATATAAATACACATGCATATGTATTTGTACAATGTTAATTGAGATTAAATCACGGCTGACAGAAATATTTTGCTGTGTCATCATGTATGCTATTTATGTTAAGTTAAGGGTTAAATCAAAAGGCGATTGCAGTAATTTTTGCTTTCGTTTTGTTAACATAATTAGGGACCGGAAATTGAAGTTAGGAAACTTAGATGAATAACAACTCAAGAGGAACAGATGCTCTTGAAAAAATTTTCCAATAAGTGTATACAATTATGTATGAATTGTCAAAATTAATTTTAAAATTTATTGGTTAACGTTTCTTAAACAGTCTGATATATGGATAAAAGAGCTAAACTAATTTCTTCAATTTTTTTCAGTACTGTGCTAAAGAGTATAATTTACAAAAAATTAAAATTTTTTTATTACTTAATTAATCGTGTTTGATTTTATAATTTAAATATCTCGTTTTGATTTGAGTTTGTTTGATTACTTAATTAATTTTATTAATTAATAATACCACCTTGTATGTGAAAGTGTATAAAGGTAATTTTTGTTTTCAAAAATAAAATTTAAAGTTTTTTTTGAAAATTAAATTTTGTAATGACATAATATTATGAACAGATAGAACTTTCAGAACAGTTAAAACTTTTTTAATGTCGATTTTTTTTTCATCACGCTATTTGTTCTATAACTAAATTCAATTACCAACATACATACATATACATACATATAAAATTTTGGTGGGTAACATGTTTTCATTTAAAACGAACTTTATTTTTCTTTTATTGTATTATTATTTTTCAGATTTTTTTTAAAAATTGTTTGAGCCGTTTCAGAGTTTTTTTTAATTAAGTATACGTTTTTATTTGCATATGTATGTATGTATAATAAAGTTTAGATCAAACACATGTATGATCATTGATCAACTTCTAAATTAGAAATTCAAAATATTTTACTACATTTCTTATTGTAATTGTAAATATTTACATATTTATATTTTTAATATACATACTATAACCCCTATTCGCTAAACTAGTCCCTATTCGCTAAACGTTTGAGAAAATGTAAGTTAAAGAAAACATCAAAAGCTACTTGGAGTTAACTAAGAACATGAAGAAATCTTATAAAAATATGTAATAGATATAAAATTAAAAAGTATAAGATGGTGTACATAGTTATAATAACTTTTGCACACTGTTTTCTATACACTATATTTATAGCATAATTAGAATATTGTAATCAGTTTGCCTTTAATGATAAGCATAATTTATACTAGTTACATTATATTACATATTCGTTTGCATTATTCATCATAACATTGTATATTCATTATATACATATGTACATACATACATATATGAATTTCGTTTGCTTAAAAGGATTATTCAAGGATCTTTTTCTCATTCATAAGGAACTGATTTCTTTGTAAATTGTAAGATGCAGTACCTTACAGTGTTCATATATGCGTATAAGTTGATTACATTTTTTCAAAAGAAATTTTTATTTTAAGTTATTCTGAGGGAAAATCAGAACATACTAACTAATTCTAAACAATATGCATCAATCGTAATTTATGCATTGCATATATTCTTCACAGACATACAGTAAAACTTGATACATAAAAGGTTCTAATTTTTAAATCATTTCTAGACTGTAAATCATTCATGTGGTAATAAATTTTGTATAAAATACTGAGATAGGAGAGTTAAAATAAAACTTAATTACACATAAAGTAGTATAGAATAACTTGAATGTTTTCTAAAATTCAAGATCAATTTTATATTTTAGCAAATTTTCATATTTCGGCACATTTTCTAGAAATTTGAAAAAAATGTCATAACCATCAAAAAAATGATTTAATTATACAATATGTGTCATTATCTTAATTTAATCTAATATAATCTAATATAATTGTTCATTTACTTATTTTTGATGAAAGCAATTTAATTTTAAGGAACAATTTTCTTTGTTCCTTAAAAAATTATTTCCAATTGTTTAAGAGAAATGCATTACTTTTCAAACGGTTTCATCTGAATTTGTTCAAAAATTCATACAGGAAAATTCTGTGATTTTATCTGTCTATTTATAGTAAAAATGTTCCTATATCAAATGTAATCAAGGTTTTTGTAATTTTACTTGTATCTAGGGTTTTCTGTCAAAACATGATATCTACATTTTTAACAAAAAAAAATATTGAATGCTGCATTATTGAAAATTTTAAGTGTTTTCTAATGCAAAAATATTTTAATTTTTCCAGTAGTTTAAAAAAAAAATCCTTGTAGAGCATTACAACTAACCAACTGTTCTAATTATCTGATAAAAATAGATATCAACAATTATTCACTTCTCGAGATTATAAAATTTTCTAAGAAAACATTGAAATGTATTATGTAGATATGTCATGTGAATTAAAATATATATTCTAGTTTTTTTTACCGTTTCGTTTTAAGTTGAAAATGAAACATCTGCACATATTCATTTCTACATTTCATATTTAAATGTTCATGTTGGTTATTTGCATATAAGTGAAACGCACTCTTAAAAACGTTCAATACTAGATAAGTGAACTTATTCAGCTCTGATTGCAATTAGAAAAAAATGTATATCTTATTTGATATAGAAAAAAAATTTAAAATTTTAAAATTATGTAATATTTAGTAATAAACATATTAAAATGCTAACTCTTTAAATCATCTTCACTTAACTTTCACTAGTTAATGTTTTAGTAAAACAAAAATAACGCAAAAAAAAATTTCAATGGTCTTTTACTCGAAATGGCAAAAATGTATAGATATCATGTTCTGATAGAAAACCCTAGATATTACAAGTACTTTAACCTTTTATTCACAATATTTGCACATTAACCTTTTATTTAATCCTTGCACATTGAAATAATTGCAGTTCTTTGAAGGGATGTCACTAATCGCAATTACTTAATCAAGACGTGATATTCCTTAATCCTAAAAATTTTAGATTTGCCTCGCTCCGTTTTTTTGTAATTTTGAACATACTGAAGTTCAAATGATTATAACATTAGACGATTAAATTCATTACACAAAGTAACTACTTAAAGTGAAATAAAAATTGTTAACCTTTTTTCTTTTGAACATTGCTTTAATTTAAAAAATTTTGAATTCAAATTAATATTAATAAGTATGCATTTTTAAATTTAGCTAACTAAGTTAATTTTATAATTTAAGTAAAAGTAGGTGTTCAAATTTCCATATCTTTTAAATTATTCTGAATTCAAACATCAAATTTTGCTTTCTTTTGAAATATTTTTTGCTGTAACTTTTGTCAAAAATAGTTAAACAATATAGCTCTTAAAATATTCACATAAACATTCATTACATAATAATTTTCATTCATATATTATGCACCTATTATTAGGAGTATAGACCTTAAGAATGCATCACCTAGCAGATTCATTGGAGCGAATCTAAGAATAAAATGCAAAATGTTTGTTTGATTTAGTTTTTTCTTTTAAATTACAGCAGGAATCTAAAAAAGAGTACATTTTGTTCATGCAATTTTCTATAGTTGTATTTTTTTTCTTTTTACTACATTCAATATTTTTCTACTTCTGTTTACTTATAGTAAAGAAGACAAGCAATGAACTTGTACAATAAGTAAAGTATAAAGAGATGAGTTCCAGGTCACATACGATATTTGCATTTACAAGATTCAAGAATAATTACATATGCATATTATGTACATGTATACAAACATGCAAATGCATATGTTTTATAGCTCAATTTTTTTTATTACAAATAGTTTTCTTTAGATAAAGTTTACAATTTAAAAAGTGTATATTATCTACATGAATATGAAGATTATGTTTAAGTAAATTGTTTTTTAAAATGAAAGATAGAAAATTTTTTCCAAAAGTGAATTCATTGATAGAATTATATTTAAGGGTAATCTAAAAGTAGTTTACATCTCCTGTTTTATATTTCTTAAGTTCATTACAGTATTACGCTTTTTAAATCTGAACTTAGCTTAGTCACAAATTTTTGAATAACATTTAAATACCACCATACTGCATTATGGAGCTTATTTTCACTAAGGTAAGACAATAAAGGTGTTTTGGAATCAGAAGATCTAAGATGTAAATATATATGTAAGTAATAAGTAACAACCAAAGGCTTGACAAACTTAATATGGAAATAAAAAAATATTTTGATTGACAAAATATAGTTAATTAATATACTTAGTAGTACAAGCTACATACAGTAGATTATTTACATAATTATGCCCGACGTAGTATTATGTATATGAGTTAAATAATTGATTTTTTGCCGAATACTAGATACAAGTATTCGGTAAGATGCAAGTAAATAAGATGCAAAAACTACAAGCAGATGCAAGATTAATCGTAATTTTTAAAATTTTTGAAATTCTGGCGCAAAACGACTAAGCTGGACTAGTACTGAATTTAGAGAAAAACTTTAGATTCATTTATCTGTTTAAATTTTTATACATTAAATCAATTATATCAATTAAACACCCTGTAAGAATACTTAACATCTTTTTCTTATTTCTATTCCCTCTATATTTTGTTATAAGCAAGTGCTATTGTGGCAAATAATCATCGCCATCAAAGCAAAGATAGATATTATATAGTTTGATGACTTGAAATAAAAATGAAAATAATAACAACTATGTATAAATTTAAATACACATGCATACTATAGAGTCATTGCGTATCACAGTATAAACGTGTAAACTATCATGAAAGTAAAACAATTTTTTGTTTACATGATTTTCTTTATG